GGGTTTTAAAACTGCGGTTTGCCGAACAAGCCTTGATGCTTGGTTAGCCAATCATTTAAGATGGTTCCACAACTTGCAGGCCGAAGCCGGCGTGCGTCCTGCCTGCAAATGCTTGAGGGACTTTCCGCAGGATCCTTTTGTGCCTGGAGAGGAAAACAACACAGCTGTTTTCAGGCGGGGGAAATGCCAGAGCTCCATAGTAATACCCAGCCAGGGGGAAAAAAAACACAACAATACAAAACCACATGACATTTTTGTGTCGTTTTTAACCTGTCTGCAGCCTTTCACAGGAGCCACGCTAAATATCTGCTCCGTCAGCTGGAGTTCACCTGTCCTGTTTATATAAAATAATATATATGCACACATATTTATATATATAAAATAAAATATATACGTGTATTGTGTGTGTTGTTTGTGTGTGTTTGTATGTGTAAAAATATACAGAACATTACTCCTATCCAAATATTGTTTTTCCCTTGATCCTTTTTGTCGTTTTCTTGGTATGGGTCATTTAATTCCCCATTCCATGAAAAATCATTTTATTGTATTGTATTGTGTATTTTAATTTACTTTATTTTATTTTATATTTTATTATTTTTTGTTTTTTTATTTTATTTATTTATTGTATTTTATATTTTATTTTTACTTATTATTTATTGTATTTTATTTATTATTTTTTGTTTTTAGTTTAATTTATTTACTATTTTATTGTATTTTATCCTTTACCTTGTTTTATTTTATATTTTAACCTTTATTATTTTATTTCATTGTATTGTATTTTATCATTTATTTTATTATTTTATTTATTATTTATAGTATTGTATTTACTGCTTTTTATGTTTTTACTTTGTTTATTATTTTATTTATTGTATTTTATGATTTGCTTTATTTTATTTTATATTTTAACATTTTATTTTATTTTATTATTTTATTTATTTTATTATTTTATTTTATTTTATATTTTATTATTTTATTTATTATTTTATTATTTATTTTATTTTATTATTTATTTTATTTTATTATTTTATTTTATTTTTTATTTTAATTTAATTTTATTTATTTTATTTTTTATTTTTATTTTATTTTATTATTTTATTTTATTTTATTTTATTATTTGGCAGGCCTGGCTTTCACGAAAGACGGGCGCTACCTGGCCCTGGTGGAACGGAGGGACTGCAAAGATCACGTCAGCCTTTTTGTCTGCAGCGACTGGCAGCTTTTGAGAGTAAGAAGTCCCATTTCCTGGACTTCATGACCTCTTTGATGGTGGTTTGCGGGATTCCCAGCCTGCTTTGTCCAGTATTTTTCTTCTGAGTTGAGGCAAAAATCCCTGGTTCAGGGGTCATCGGAGGTTTTTTCCCACGCCAGGTAAAAGATGTCCCAGTCCCAACCTGGTTTTCCTTATTTTCTCTTGTTTTGTCTCCCAAGCATTTTGAGACTGAGACCCAGGACGCCACTGGAATCGACTGGGCCCCCAACGGCTGCGTGCTGGCCGTGTGGGACAGCTGCCTGGAGGTGAGCAGATTCACACCCGCTGCTTCCGCTAAATCAGTTCGAGCCATTCTGACAGTCTCGTGAGGTAGTCCCCACCGCAAACTCACACACAGCTCTAACTTTATGGCAACGGTGACATTTATTGCAAGTTGTCATAAATACACGCCGGTTACCAAGTGCCCAAATTTTGATTGTGTTTTCATAAGGATGCTGTGGCAGTTTGTAAGGGAAGGGAGAGTTGTAAATCGTTGCAATTTCGAACAGTCACTAAATGGATGGTTGTGAAGTCAAGCAAGAGACCCTATACCATTTCAATAAATCAAGAGTAAGAGCTGGAAGGGACCTTGGAGGTCTTCTAGTCCAGCCCCCTGCTCAAGCAGGAAACCCTAGACCATTCCAGACAAATGGCTGTCCAATCTCTTCTTAAAAGCCTCCAATGATGGAGCACCCACAACTTCTGGTGGCCAGCTGTTCCACTGGTTAATCGTCCTGTCAGGAAGCTTCTCCTTAATTCCAGGTTGCTTCTCTCCTTGCTTAGTTTCCATCCGTTGTTTCTTGTCCTGCCTTCAGGTGCTTTGGAAAATAGCTTGACTCCCTCTTCTTTGGGGCAGCCCCTGAGATACTGGACCGCTGCTATCATGTCCTCCCCCCCCACCCCCCAGTCCCTCTTTTCTCTTAGACTGGCCAAACCCAAATCCTGCAGCCGTTCTTCGTGTGTTTTAGTCTCCAGGCTTCTCCTCATCTTAGTTGCTTATCCTCTTAGAATATGGTCGGTTTTATATCCTTTTTTCTTTTTTTACCAGTATAAAGTCCTGCTTTATTCCCTCGACGGACGCCTCCTTTCGACCTACAGCGCTTACGAATGGTCCTTGGGGGTGAAATCCCTCACCTGGAGCCCCAGCAGTCAGTTTTTGGCGATTGGCAGCTACGACGGAAAGGTGAGCTTGGCCAAACCTGCCCCTCCCTTCCCCCCAATTTCCCCGTTGTGCAGGGTCCAAAATATATCCTAAATGCTAGGCCACATTTAATGAGATTTTATTTTATTTTATTTTACTATGGGTTTCTCAACGATCGGGGAAAAAATTGGCATATTTTCTTTTCATCAGGTCCGGATCTTGAACCACGTGACCTGGACGAAGATTGCCGAATTTGACCATCCCCTCACCGTCACTCATCCCAAACCTGTAAGAATTCCGATTTCGTACACGGTTTAGGGACTGCAGTACAGGGAGTCCTCGCCTTACGACCGCAACGGAGCCCAGAATTTAGGCTGCTAAGTGAGACGTTGACTAAAGGGAGTTTGGGCCCCATTTTACGGCTTTTCAAGAAGAGATTGGACAGTCATTTATCTGGAAGAGTACAGGGTTTCCTGCTTGAGCAGGGGGATGGACTAGAAGATCTCCAAGGTCCCTTCCAACTCTGTTATTGCGTTATGATCCATTTTGGTTCACGTTGTGCTTTTGTGAATGACCCCACCCCGATTGAACTTCCCGTTTAGGTTGTGTACAAGGAAGTGGAGAAAACCCCAGCGGTGGACTTAGAGAAACTGACATTTCCACCCAGCAAAAGAATGGCGAGTGCCCTCTTCAGCCGAAAGACGAAATGTAAGTTTGGGAGTTCAGGTGGGTGGACTTCAACTCCCAGAATTCCCCAGCCAGCTGTGCTGGCTGGGGAATTCTGGGAGTTGAAGTCCACAGGTCTTCCAAGTTGCCGAGTTTGAAAAAAAAAAAACACCGCCTGAAAGAAAAGTAGACCAAAGTAAAAGGGGTTAAAACTAGGAGCAAATGTGAAGTAAATATCTTGTTTTTGTTTCCATTTCAGACGAAGTCGTCCAGGCCCCCCTTTCTTTGCACCACATCCAGCCTCCCACGGATCGGGCTAATCCTAGGATTGGCGTCGCGACGTTAGCTTTCAGTTCGGATAGCAGTTTCCTAGCAACCAAAAACGGTCAGAATAATAATAAAAATAAAATAATAATAATGTGTTAAAACTTATATGGAGGCCCCCCCAAACCCTGCCACAGTTCAGATTTCATTCATGGCTATTTTAAGCCAGTTATCTTAAACTTGAGATAAAGCTAGCTAGTAAGTTTCCACCAGCTTGTTTAAAGGTTACTGACTTAAAATCGGCATGAATGAGAATATTAAAAAAAGGATTTTTTTAAAACACCCAACTCAACCTTTCAGTTAGGAATATGTTTGACTGTAAGGCCATTATTTCTTATTGTCTCGTTGTGTTCTTTTTTTAACAGACAACCTCCCAAACACCGTCTGGATCTGGGACGTTCAAAAGATGAAGCACGCTGTGGTCCTGGAGCATTTGGGTCCCGTTCAGCTGTTCCAGTGGGACCCCCATCGATCTCGGCTCGCTCTGTGCACCGGCAATACGAAAGTCTACCTCTGGTCTCCAGCAGGATGCTCATCCGTGCAGATACCCATGGAAGGTAAACGAGCAAAGCCGTACCTTGTAATAACTCCGGCATTTATTTTGCACCGGAATTTAAACTGAAGAAGTTGACAAATGAATATACCTGTCACTCATGGGGGAGGATGAGGGTGGAGGTTCATACTCCGGGCTTGTGGTTCAGAAACCAACCCACAAACTCAGAGAACGAACTTCCACCCTCAAAAGTTTACAGAGGCCAAACATTGAGACCCCACTGTGGTTTGATCGCTCCCATTAAGGCACGTTTTGGCTACTAGATACTGTTTACAAAGGGCGTACTTGAAACGCTGGAAATTATTGCGAAAGAAAAAAGGATGATTTAAAAAAAATATTACTGTTTTGTGCGCAGGTGACTTCAAAGTGACTTCGCTTTGCTGGCACCCCAGTGGGGACTTCCTGATTCTTCTCAGCAAGGACAATTTCTGCCTCTGTTACTTAGAAGAAGGAGGAGAAGCTGCAAAGTAGTCGGACCCAAAGCGAAGCTAAGTGAAAAAGAAAAAAAATTAATCGCCAGTTGTTTTTAAACTTTCAGTTCTCCGAAATCGGAGAAAAAGAAACAACTCTATCTCGATTTGTTTACCTTTGTCTGGTTTTCCAGGCACAAACGTGTAATTTAAATCTGTACATAAAACGGAGTGCTCCAGAGAGACCTGGTTTCGAATTTGCTTTCCGTGAAACGGAACTTAAAAGGATGTATATATTTTACGGCGGGCAACCTGTGTGGTTTTCCCCAATTTTCAATAAAAGTGTTTGTTGTATAAAGTGCGGTCAAAAGGAGAAGGCGGCAATTTTGCGTTCTATGGAGGGTAAAGCAGAGCAGTTTCTATTTTGCTTTTGTTTGAATGTGTTTGTGTGTGGGGGGGGGATAAACATTGTGTGACAGCCAGGTCCCTGAATAGGGGGGGACTGGAAAGCCACTGCGAAGGGGCTGAGCCTGCCTCGGCAACCATTTTGTGAGTGCGCCCACCCATTGCCAGCAAAACCCCCCCGCAGGCCCCTGATCCTCGAGGCCAATCAAAGCATTGAGTGGTTCCCACTGAAACAAAGCCAGACGGAAAGGATTTATGGATTAATACTTTCTGCGATTCATATGGACTTCAGTTTTATTAAGCTTCGGTATACACAACTTATAACACAAACAAGGACACACACTCGGCGTCATCTCAGCGGCCTTTTTTTTTGTCCGCCGTGAACGCTACCGAGAGAATGCCGAATTACAAAGAGGTATCAAGAGGATCTTTGTTTGGGAAGCAGAAATTTCAGTTCTGGATAGATTTTTAAGGCGGTGTTTCTCAGCCGGGTCACTTTTCAGATGTCCAGGACTTCAGCTCCCAGGATTCCTCAGCCAATATGGCTGGCTGGGGAATCCTGGGAGTTGGAAGTCCAGCCATCTTAAAAAAGGCCCTGCTTGAGAAATTTTAAGGAATGCAAACATTAAATAGGAAAAATTGAAAAGTACATCCATGCTTCTAAAATGATTGTTCCCCACGTGGCAGTAGAGATTTCCATCCTATATATTTCTTGTCTGAAGACTTTTGGCCTGGATGAGCCAATAATCTTTCATTTTCACATTTTCCTTTTGAGTTTCCACCTCTAGGATTCACCCACGTTAAGCACCGGGTGGATTTAAAAACCAAGAGAGAAAAACTGGACATTTTGGACTAAAATTACATTCTTGCTTCGAGACCCCAGGCTTTGGTAATTTAGTACTCCGCTTTTGGACTGACAAGCTGTCTTTAAAGCTGATCGAAAATTCCCTTTTTTCCCCCCCCACTCCATGCAAAAACAGGATTCTGTGCGGCGCCAAATTCCCAGGAAACGAGCACCATTGTGCAGGATTTCACGGCGTGTGAGAAGTCGTTCTTGGCGTGACTTGTCTTTAGTGTGACTGCGGGGAAGTTGTCTAAAACGTGGACCAGCCGTTTCAATTCGTGCTTTGCTCGCAGGAGAGGAGATGATTTAGTTGCAACTCGGCAGACCCTAACAAGCTCCCCGTATTCTCAAGCTATCCCTTTTAAACCATGGGAAAGAATTAGCCACTCTCAAGCTATCACAGGAAAGAATTAGCGATCCCGCAAGAAGGAAAGCCAGGATAATATGTACACGGGGAGGGGAGAACTCCAGAGCATGCGTGAAAACATAGAATTGTCTTATTGGAGACACACGAAAGGATTGGAGGAAAGATTGGTGTGATGGCAACTCCTCTCTCCTTTTAATCCGTCGGGATTTTTTTTTCTTTACGATCAGCGACATTTTTGACGAGCTGGGGGGAAACAAATCCATGGGCTTTTGCTTTCTTTTCCCCCTACTCTTCTGGGGGGGCGACGGTGAGCTCGTCTCTGCTTTTCAGAATCCAATTTTCCCTCTGGTCATGGAGTAGCCCAGCTTGGCTTCGTTGTTGATGAAAGACATCAACCCCACGTAGGTTTCGATCAGAAGCGGTCTCTCCAGGAGCAGGACGCCGTTGGCCCGCCCTGGCAGAGGACATTCCCTGTGGGCCTTCTTGACGGCCTGAACCAGCTGGGTTTTGAAGTTCTCCAACTGCAGAAGGAAAGGAAAGTGTGTATTGGGGGGGGGGAGAGAGAAAGGACGCTGAAAGAGTGTGTCATCCCTGCAGAACCTCGGAAATATTTCTTGCATACAGCCGGTCATTTGCATCCTTTTAGAGAGCCATTGAGGCCTCTTGGAGGCTTCTCTTTGTCCTCGGGGTCACCTGAGTGATGCAAATGGGTGTGGAGCCTTCTTCCTTTCAGCAGTTCCACACCCATTTGCACCACTCAGGTGACCCCGAGGACACAGACAAGCCTGCAAGTGGCCTCAACGGCTCTCTAAAAGGAGGCAAATGACCAGCGGTCTGCAAGGAGTATAAATCCTTCCATTCTCCACCACCCAGTCAGAGCTGGAGAAGCTTCTTGGAGGAGAAGCGAAACGTCTTCAAAGGAGAAGCAAGGAAGTCCACCTGCCTCCTAAAACGGATGGCCGAGAATCTCCATAGATACAAAGCAGATAAAGGACTATTTTTCCTCTTCCAGTTCAAAGAAACCAGGTTTTCACGATGCTGGCCAGCCCACTTCCTTCTTCCCACTGCGAGTCATCTAAACTCCTTTAAAAACACACACACACACACACACACACACGATAATATCTGACCTGACACAAAGAGGCGATCTTCTCGTCGGCATCAGCCATGGGGTGTTCGGTAAAGGTGGAGTAGGGCACGTTGCTGGACCAAGGATTCCATCGATTGAGGAACGAAGCCCGGCTCTGTTTGTCCCACTGGATTCGGATCCCGACGCCTTCTCGCCTGGTGAAGGAAGAAAGCACACCTTTGCTCACACCAAGACAGGCAGGAACTGGGAATGGCCAGAAAAAGACTAGGGGGGACGTAATAGCGGTCTTCCAGCATTTGAGGGGCTGCCCCAAAGAAGAAACAACGGATGGAAACAACCTGGAATGAAGGAGAAACGTCCTAACGGTAAGGACAATTAACCAGTGGAACAGCTGGCCACCAGAAGTTGGAGGTTTTTCAGAAGAGACCGGACAGCCACCTATCTGAAATGGTGTAGGGACTTCCTGCTTGAGCAGGGGGTTGGGCTAGATGACCTCCGAGGCCCCTTCCGACTCCTGCGACTCTCTTGAGAACGTACTTGTTGAGCGACTTGGGAGGAAACTCAAACTGGCCCGTGGAAATGGTGTCGACGGCATTAAGCGAGATTCTGGTCACTTGCAGGCACTGTAGGCTGATGAAGTCGTATTTACAGATCAAGAGGGATCGGTCGGTAATCAGGACCAGGCGCTCCTTCTCGTTGTTCCAGTGGTCGATCCTGCGAAAGGGGAGGAAAAGCAAGCAGGCCAGCGTGGCTAAGCATTTCTTCTAAGAAAAGAAGTTTTGGGAAAAGTTTATTTTTTTTTTTATCCTGATCTGCTTTGGGGTCTAGGCAGAAGCTGGCTTTGGGCCCCCCCCCCCGACTTACTCGGTCAGCAGCCAGACGCTCTGGACCTCCCCGTCCTCCACAGGCATCACCACCACCCGGATCTCGTTGACCGCCTGTTCAATAGTGCCCGGCTGAATGGAGAGAGAGAGAATGGGCCATTTTGAACCCCTCGTTTCACCAATGTTAGGTCTAACACTCTGTGTCTCAACCTTCCTGGACTTTAAGACTGGTGGACTTCAACTCCCAGAATTCCCCAGCCAGGGAGTCTGTCTGTCTCTCTATATATATACACATACACACATGCAAACACACACATGCACACACACATACGTAATATACACTTGGTTTACATCTCCAGGAATCCTGTTTTGTGATAGGTGCCTATATAAATATACACACACACACACATGCACAAGTGTATGTGTGTTATGAGAGACAGCACAGATATACTTATAGCTACTATTAGGCGTAGTTATATAGTTTTATATTAATATATTAGAAAAATATGCAACTATTAATACTGGCATATATGAAATATACATAGTACTTAGATATAATTACATACTTTCTTAGATACCGGTAGGTGGCTATATAAATACAATTTAGATAGATAGATAGATAGATAGATAGATAGATAGATAGATAGATAGATAGATAGATAGGAAAAGAGAGAGTAAAAAAATGACAATAAAGGTTATCTTATTCCGTAGAGCCTCCAGAGCTGGACGCAGCCTCTCCCGGAGGGCGTGGCCTCCTCCCTCTTCCCCCTCCCTCCCTCCCCGCCGCGCATGCGCCCCCGCGCGCCCACCCGGAAGACGAAGTACTCCTTCAGGCGCCCCCCGCGGGTGGGGTTGCGGACGTTCAGCGGCCGCAGCGTCTGCCGGGGCGCCCCCAGCGAGGCGTCCACGTCTCCCGGCGGCGTGAAGGGCACGTCGGCCTCGGCCGCCGGCACCAGCAGCGCCGGCCCGGCGCCCTCCTCCGAGTCCCGCAGCTGCAGCATGGCCGGCGGCGGGCCGCGGCCTCCCCAGCGGCGCCTCTCCCTTCGCTGCCGGGCTAGGCGCCTTCTGCGCAGGCGCCAACCGCCGCCCACAGGGGCGGGGCCGGCGCGCGGAGGAGTCTCTCTCATAGACTCACGAAGGAGTGGAGAGGCGCCGACCCGCGCGCGGAGGCAAACGCTGGCGGGTTAAGTGTGCGGGAAGTGTTTTCTTCCCCCCTCCCCAGTTATGCTCTTGCTTATGCGTCAGAATGCATTTCTGGAAGGTGCAAGTTGCCTTCCTGGAAGGGTGCACCCTGTAAATAAACGCGTGCAAGTTGCATTTATGGAAAGGTGCACCCTGTAAATAAACACGTGCAAGTTGCCTTCCTGGAACGGTACACTCTGTAAATAAACGCGTGCAAGTTGCATTTATGGAAGGGTACACCCTGCAAATAAACGCGTGCAAGTTGCCTTCCTGGAACGGTGCACCCTACAAATGCGTGCAAGTTGCCTTCCTGGAAGGGTGTACTCTAAATAAACGCGTGCAAGTTGAATTTATGGAAGGGTGCACCCTACAAATAAACGCGTGCAAGTTGCCTTCCTGGAAGGGTGTACCCTGTAAATAAACGCGTGCAAGTTGAATTTATGGAAGGGTGCACCCTGCAAATAAACGCGTGCAAGTTGCATTCATGGAAGGATGCACCGTGCCAATAAACACATGCAAGTTTTCAAACAATATTGGGGGAAAAAAACCTCTGAGCAAATAAACCTATAGCTAAGATTGTGCAGTGGGGCAGATTTACAGCAAGGTGGAGAGAGGGCCAGAGTTTGCGCAGTCACTAAATGACTTCTCTCTTTCTCCTTTTTTTTTCCTTCCTTCCTTCCTTCCTTCCTCCCTTCCTCCTGCTTGTAAGAAATGGGAGATTTGTCAGTCTGACTGACTATTATTAATATGGTTAGTTGCCCAGCCAGCCAGATGTTCAGACCATGGCATTTTTGTCCACGTCTAGAAAACTGGGATGGCCAGATGTGGCTGTTTGATGGTCTTAAAAGTCTCCTCATAAGGCGTGCCAAGTCAAGCTGCCATTTGCAATTGACTGATGGGTTTTTTTTTGTCAATATCCACGGTATTCCAGTGATGCTCCAGATGTTTTGGGATTGCATTCAAGAGGTCTATTATAATCGGGACGACCTTTGCTTTCTTTTGGATTTACGACCGTCGCAGCACCGCTACGTCATGTGATCCAAATTTGTTTCTCCTGTTTGTTAATTTAATTTCAACTTAAGTTTAATTCAACTTCAATGTAATTTTAATTTAGTGTTTAAAGCCTTCGGACCAATTGATCCTGGTTTTTTTTTTTAAATGCCCCCATTTTCCACCCCACCTTTGACATGTGACAAGGTCCCACACAATGGCCTTCTGTTTGATCCGCCTTCCCCCCCCCTTTTTTTTTCCCACAAAAGGGAGATCCCAAGGAAAAGACACCACGGGTGGGTGGGAAACTGTCATTGGTTTAAACCCCATGGTTTTTCTTTCTGGTGGGAATGTTGGACCTCTGTAAATAAAGAACCAGATGTGGCTCCTCTTTTCAGCATCAGAAATGCACACTTGTTTGAGGGAGGTCATTTGCAGATGCTTCACTGGGATTGACAAAGTGGGAAGCTTCTGGTCTTTTTTTAAAAAAAAGAATTAAATGTTTTTAGGAACAGGAGAAGGAGGAGGCTAGACAAAGGAAAGGAACATGGGAAATAAAAAGCTCTTACTCCTCTCATCCATCACCTCCTCCTCCTCTTCTCCATCCCCTCCTCCCTCACCCGAAATGGATCGATTTTTATTTTTCCATTTTTTGGCGTGTGGAAAAAATTTTTTGGGAAGCCAGGAGATCTTCGGAAGAGTTGGCGAACTCCAAGCTTATTTGGAGCCCAAGCAAAACAATTGGAATGTCACTCTGTGGATTTATGTGCTTTAATTTGCTCTCTGCAGATTTAATATTTGCTGATGATCCATCACGCATTGGGGAGGGGGCTTTTTGGGGCAAGAGACTCTCAACCCATGGGGAGAAATCTGAAATGGAGAGCCAGGAAGCCCTATCAATTCTTTTCGTTGAATGAAAAACACTGACGGGGAAAAAAAAATTGTGGCTCAGCCAAGAGACACACCACCATGTCCAGAAGACCCCAGGATCTGCCTGTGGGGATCCTACAATGGGTCGTAAGCCTGAAAAACGGGCCTCAGTCCCCCTTTTTTTCCCCGGTGCCGTTGCAAGTTTGAACGGTCACTAAAGGACCCCGTTGTAAATCGAGGACTATTTCCCCCTGCTTGGTCATTAAGACCCCCGCCTGCCTGTTGGATTTAGAACAGGGGTCTTCAAACTTGGGCCTTTGATGACTGGTGGACTTCAACTCCCAGAATTCCTCAGCCCTGGCTGAGGAATTCTGGGAGTTGAAGTCCATCAGTCATCAAAGGCCCAAGTTTAAAGACCCCTGATTTATAACATTTGGCCTCTTGAGTTCCAGGGATACTCCTCCGCTCAGTGGAAAAAAAAAAACAACCCACAATCACCTCATTGTGGTTGAGCCATTCAGGACTTTCCAAAATGTGGATTTAATTTAAGTTCCCCTCCGCTCCCCCCCCTCCCACCAGCCCCGCTTTCCAGCCCCTTTGATTGTTGACATGGCCAAGATGTGAGATTCCAGTTTGAACACCGGCCAAGAATGCGTTTTTTTTTTTTAAAAAAAACAACCTCCAAGTCCATCAGCCAAAAAAATAATAATAATAAATTCCTTTGCTCTGCGCACTTATATTTGTGTCGTGTGTTTTTGTGTGTGTGTGTGTGTGCAGGCGAGGTGGGGAGAGGAGGAGGAGGAGGGTGGGTGGGCTAGAAGAGGTGTATATATATATATATATTCTTCTAACCTGCAAAAGGGGCTGAGTTGATGGAAGCAGCAGGCTGCAAAACTCTCAGCTGAACTGGGAAATTTGACATGGGCTTTTTTTTGGGGGGGGGGAGAGGAAAGGCATGCAGTGGGGAGGGGTCCCGCCACCGTGAAGGGGAGAGGAGGATGAACACTGGCTCAGTTGCTGAAGAGTCTGCTTGAGTGGCAGGAGCCGTTTTTGCAGGATGCGAGGAGGAACGGGGAGGCTCTGCGGATGGACGCTTTGGACCCTGGTGGTCTGGATGGGGGGACCCCCGGCTTCCGCCCTGCACCATCGGTACCTCTGGAAGAATTGCCTCCCCTGCTACGGGGGGCAGGTGGGCTACGGCGGCGTGGGACGCTCGGAGAGCAGGCCAGGTGAGTGAGCTGCTGCCCAAAGTAAGCTGCGGTCCAGAGAAGGGGCTGTCTCTGTTACCGGAGAAGAGAATAGCGGAGTTGGGAGGGATCCTGGAGGTCATCTAGTCCAACCCCCTGCTCTAGCAGGAGATCCTGGACATTTCAATCAATCAGTCAGAATAGAGCTGGAAGGGACCTTGGAGGTCTTCTAGTCCAACCCCCTGCTCAAGCAGGAGACCGTATTCTATTCCTGTCAAATGGTTGTCCAATCTCTTCTTTAAAAAAAACTCCCAATTTGAGGATTGCTTCAGGGGTTTAATTGGAGGCAATTCAGAGATGCTGCTTCCGGGAATCCAATCCTTCTGAAGACGTGGAGATGTTCAGCCTCAAGTCTTCCTTCCCTGCAGGCCTTCAAACAGAGGTTGGAAGGTCACCCGGCCCAAGGGGGTTGGACTAGATGCCCTCGTGGGTCCCTCCCGGCTCAGTCGTTTTGCCACCCGATGTGAAACTCCAAAGCCAAAGACAGGAGAGATGTGGGGGGGGGGGAGAGAAAAGAAAACCCAAACTCTCTTTGCACCCAACCTGCCTGCTAAACTCGGTCTCCCCCATCCTCCCTCTTTTTAAACCAGGATCGCCATCCCAGCTTTTTTTTAGAGACAGAGGCAGACCTTTCCCTGCAGGACACAAAACCCCGCAGCAGCAGCAGCGGGAGAGCCAAGGCTGAGTGGTCCAGGTTCAGTGGACTGGAGACGCTTGGCGAGAGACGGGCGGGCAGGCGGGCAGCCAAGAGGGCAGCCAGCCAGACGTTCAATTCCAGGGCTGAGATGGTGTGGGGCAGCCTGGGGAGCTAAACAAAAAAATAGAAAGGAGGAAACACACACACACACACACACACACACACACACACACACACGCAGAGGAGTGTGCTGTCTTAACTAGATGTGGCTGCAGAAACAAAGGGGGGGGGGAATGATCAGCTGGAGCGTGTTTTTGTACTCTTTCCTCTTAAAACAAATATAATCATCACTTTAAGGATGTTCAGTCCTCTTTCTCATCCACCAAGGTCCTCAATAAGGGATCCTACGGTTTTCAAAGAAAGGAATGGGGCAGGGACGGGAGAAGGAGGGATAAAAGGGGGAGGGAGGGAGGAAAGAAGGAAGGAAGGGAAAGTAGGAGAAGGAAGAAAGGGAAGGAAGATGGAAAGGAGGGAGGGAGAAAGAAAAAGAAAGAAAAAGAAAAAAAGAAGGAAGGAAGATGAGAGAAGGAAAGTAGAAGGAAGATGGGAAGGGAGGAAGGAAGGAAGGAGAAAGGGAAAGTAAGAGAATAAAAGATGGAAGGAAGGAAGGAGGGGAGGAAGGAAGGAAGGGAAAGTAGGAGAAGGTAGAAAGAAGGGAAGGAAGATGGAAAGGAGGGAGGGAGAGAGAAAGAAAGAAAAAGAAAGAGGAAAGAAAGAAAAAAAGAAAAAGAAGGGGAAAGTAAGAGAAGAAAAGATGGAAGGAAGGAAGGAAGGAAGGAGAAGGAGCAAGGAGAGAAACAAGGCAAGGAAGGAGAAAAAAGGAAGGAAAAAATGAAGGAAGGAAGGAAAAAAGGAAGGGAGCGAGAGAAACGAATTGAAGGAAGAGGGAAGAAAATAAAGGGATGGCTGTCAGTCTTCTTAAGAGCAATTACATGTATAGTTTAACACCCCTCTCTCAGATTACAACACAATTTCCTTCCCCCACCCCATAATCTACCCCGTTTAAGCCCCAAAGCCATGTATCATGTTCGTTTCTTTTCAGCACTAATAAACATAGTTATTGTTCTTCCTTTAATCAAGCATGTCAATTTTGCCATCCCTAGTAATTTTGCCATCCTCCCCCTCATCCGTTTCTCCATCATGCATATCCCAGATTTGGAAGCTGTGCCCTTCTTTTTCTCTCTCTCTCTCTGTTTCTCCACATCTGCCAGTTTTCCTCGGTTGCAGAAAGCCAAATTAATAGATTTATACGAGGGTTGCAAAAAGTAAAATAAAAAAATACAATACAAAAATGGTGCTCGCTTAACTGTAGTGCAAGCCGGACTTCTAAAACCCTGAATATGTTCACATTTTACAATTCAACCGTTTTGCCTCTGGAACAGACCATCATGAACCCACCGTGACTCAAACCACAGTGTGTCATTTGTTGATGTTTTCTGATTGGGTCTGTTTACCCCTTATGTAGAAACATGTTTGCTATTAATCTTAGCTTTCCTTCTTTTTTTTTTAACTCAAAAATATTTCTATTCTTTGTAGCTAATCTACAGAAGAAGAAAAAAACACACACACGTAAGAGAGTTGACAACATTTTAGAACTTTGGAATTTACCCAAAGGAGTAAAAAAAAAAAAAAAAAGGCTTGGAAATTTATTTTATAGACAGTGATCAAAATTAGTCCAGACTGTTTCCAAGTTCATTTTATTTAATAGAAGGCCAAGGAAAAAAAAAGACAGATAATTTCTGGCTTTCTTGCTTGAAATTGACTGTGTTCCTACATCTGGATGGACATTATCGGTGGAGAGATTTATTACTTTGCAGTAGCAAAAAAAAAAAAAAAAAAAAAATCAAGAATCTGGTAGCAATTTTTTTTTTCCAACTGAGAAATCAATCAATCAGAGTAGAGCTGGAAGGGGCCTCGGAGGTCTTCTAGTCCAACCCACTGCTCAAGCAGGAGACCCTACCATTTCAATCAACCAATCAATCAATCAATCAATCAATCAGAATAAGAGCTGGAAGGGACCTTGGAGGAAGGAAGGAAGGAAGGAAGGAAGGAAGGAAGGAAGGAAGGAAGGAAGGAAGGAAGGAAGGAAGGAAGGAAGGAAAAGTAGGAGAAGAAAGAAGGGAAGGAAGATGGGAAGGGGGGAGGGAGGGAGGAAGAAAGGAAGGAAGGAGAAAGGTTAAGGAAAGATGGGAAGGAAAGAGGAAGGAAAAACAGAAAGAAAGAAAAAAAGAAAGAATGAGAAGGGGAAAGTAGAAAGAAGGAAGAAAAGGAGGAAGAAAGGAAGGAAGGAAAGAAAGGAAGGAAAAAACAGAAAGAAAGAAAAAAGAAAGAATGAGAGAAGGGGAAAGTAGAAGGAAGGAAGAAAAGGAGGAAGGAAGGAAGGAAGGAAGGAAGGAAGGAAGGAAGGAAGGAAGGAAGGAAGGAAGGAAGGAAGGAAGGAAGGAGAATTTTCCCTTCTAATCCCCCCCCCTTGTTTTGTTTTGTGACTTTTGCTTTGACCAGCCACCTGTGTTGACACCCAGAGACAATTGTGTGCGTGTGTGTGTGTGTGTGTGGGAGTCTTGGCCGTCGAAGCTTGTTGTTGCTTCCATCTTGTTTCCCTTCCAGATGTGGACGAGTGCCAAACTCACAATGGGGGCTGCCAGCACAGATGTGTCAACACCCCGGGGAGCTATCACTGCGAGTGCAAGACGAGCTTTCGTCTCCACGCGGACGGACGGACGTGTCTCCGTAAGTCTGGTGGGCTTTGGAGCATCCCCAGCAATGCATTGTGGGAAAATCCCGTGGACGGATGGGGCCTGTCTCTTTTTTAAGGCATTTAAGTAAAGAAGAAAGGGAGGGAAGGAGGGAGGGAGGAAAGGAAGGAAGGAAGGAAGGAAGGAAGGAAGGAAGGAAGGAAGGAAAGAAAAAAGATACAAAATTAAGGTTTCTGGGCAGAGAGGAGATTTAAGCCTCATTATTCAGACTTCTAATCTAGAAACATGTTCACTGCAACACTGCAACAGGAAGAAATATGGACTGATTTCTCTCTCCCCCTTACACACAAACTTTTACAGGAATTTTGGCTAAAAACTACAGTCAGAAATCAAGACATTAAACGTAGATCAGCAAGGCAGAATCTAAAAAGAAAAACCAAACTAGCCCTTTTAAAACATCGGCTTCAGAGTGGAAACTTTGCTTCTCTTTTTTCTTTCCGTTTTGAGGATCCCCCTTTTCGTCCTCGACTTTTGGGGCCCCAAAGGGTGCATAAATCGTGATTTTATTTTCCCTTCTCCCCTCTTCAGAGTTTTTCAGCTTCAATTCTCGGTGTCTGTTTGAGTTTTATCTTTTGCCAAGCGTCTGGTCCTCATTATCTGTCCCGGGCTGGAATTTCCTCAGGGCCAGGGGCAATGCAAACAAAATGTGTACATTTTGGCCGACGCAGTTTGGAAAAACCGTCGAGGTTCAGATGGGGTGAGCATAAGTTTGGGTGGGTGGGAGAAATGATCCCCTCGGAAAACTGCAACATTTCAGGAGGCGCCAAGAAAAAAAAAAATAGCAGGAAACGCAAAGTCTAAATTTGAAAAGCACCAAAATATCTTTGCAAACTTACTGATCTTCACCGCCACGGATGAAAACTTAAATTCTTTTTAATTGCTTCAATGCCCGCACGATTTTCATTTCAAGAAAGATAATCTCCCTCTCTTTCTTTCTCTCTCTCTTTCTCACTCTCTCTTTTCTCTCTCTCTCTTTTCTCTCTTTCTTTTTCTCTTTCTTTCTCTTTCTCTCTCTCTCTGTTTCTCTCTCTCTCTCTCTCTCTCTCTCTCTCTCTCTCTCTCTCTCTCTCTCTCTCTCTCTCTTTTGAACCCTTCAGTGGAAGGACAACTAATCAAATTGTGGGAATGCTTCCGTGTTTTGAATAAGTCAATATCTTTTTAAAAAAACAAAAATCCCACATGGTATTCAGGGGAGAAAAAAAAGACCCTTTCCTAGCTGCAATTTAATACATGGATTTGTACCACATATAAAATGTATGTTCCTCTATTTGCAGAAGTTGCATTTTATTTTTGCAGGAGGTCAAAAACCCAAAAGGGAATTTTGCTAGCCTGGATTGAATTTATTATAATATTATTCTGCGGTTTATAGTGAGCTGAGCACAGGCTTTGATGTTCATTCTTAGCTGGGAGTTTAGCAGTGGTTTTTTTTTGTCTGTAAAAGCTTCTGTCACACAAAAACACAAAGGGGTTGTGTAAAAATGTCTCTGGTTGTGGCTCAGTAGAAAGCTTCCGGCTAGAAACGCTTCTATTATGCATGGATCAAATTTGGCTTTTGGCCACATCAGAAAGAAAGAAGGAAAGAAAGAAAGAGAGAGAGAGAGAGAGAGAGAGAGAGAGAGAGAGAGAGATGAATAAATGAAAGAATGAAAGAAAAAGAAAAGAAAGAAAGAGAGGGAGAGAGGAAGGAAGGAAGGAAGGAAGGAAGGAAGGAAGGAAGGAAGGAAGGAAGGAAGGAAGGAAGGAAGATAACTTTAAGATAGGTAGACCAATTCCCAGAATTCCTAGCTGGGTTACAGTTGGCTGGGGAATTCTGGGTATTGAACTCCACCTAGTTTTGAAAAAAAACACTGCTATGGAGTTCGAACACCATTTTTCTACGGTTAAAATTGTTTTAACATTAGCAGTGGATTGGATTGCTCGTTCGATGGTTTTAAGAAATGAGTTTTATTTCTGCTGAAAGTCACATCTCCCCTTTAGGATAAAGAGAAGCCCCTGGCTCGTTTGTGTGGCTCCACCAGTTGTACTCCAGCCTGGTTGGTGTGTCTGTGGCTGCACCTGTTGGACTTTCACCCCTGTGACCCTTTTCTTTTCTTTCTCCCCCCCCCCATTAGCTAGCAACCCCTGTGCCATCAACAACGGAGGGTGTGAACATGATTGCGTGCAGCTCAGCTTTTCGCAGCACCGGTGCCAATGCCGGCCCAATTATCAGCTGAAAGAGGACGGAAGACACTGCGTGGGTGAGTCCCCCAAACTCCGGGAGAACCCCAGAAGCCTAAAATAATAATAAAATTAATCAAAGGATATACCTGTAAATTTACATGGCTGCTCCTTTTTCTGAAACAATCTTTCTTTTAGATTGGATACACAGAGGACTAGAGTATTGCATTGAGGACTAGACTGATGAATTAAATGTTTAAAGCAAACAAGCTGATGCTCCTTTCTCGCTCGTTCTTGGTGCTCTTCTGATATATTCTCTAGCTTTGTTCTGACTGGACGACCATTTGTCTGAAAGGGTGACTATAGGGTTTCCTGTCTGAGCAGGGGGCTGGACTAGAAGACCTCCAAGGTCCCTTCCAGCTCGTTGTTGTTGTTGTTGTTATTATTATTACCACCATTGTCGTTGTTATTAATATTATCGTAATTATCATTATCATTATTATTATTTTTCCCCCTGGTTTCATTCATTCAGGCGTAACGCCTGTTAGGTTCCCACAATTAACACGCGACTCCTTCTGTCTCCCAGTGAGGAATCCATGCGCCACCCAGAACGGAGCCTGCATGCACAAATGCCACAATCACAATGGGGTGGCGCGCTGCGAATGCCACCCAGGCTACCGACTGGGCCCGGATCGCAAAACCTGCCAAGGTAAGGAAGGTTTGTCGAAAGGAACCATTACGATCAATTTTAATTATAATTTAAAATGTCAGCGTTAATAAATGTGCTGTAGCAGCCGTTGGTTTCTTCATCTAGAACTTAACGAGATTGTCTCTGTGCTTGTTATACGATAAATGTTTGGGTCTTTAGTAGATTATTTTGTATTAATAGAATAGAATAGAAGCTGGAAGGGACCCTGGAGGTCTTCTAGTCCAGCCCCCTGCTCAAGCAGGAGGACCTATACCATCTCAGACAGGTGATTGTCCAGTTTCTTCTTTAAAATCTCCAGTGACAGAGCATCCACGATTTCTGGGGGCAAGCTGTTCCACTGGTTGATTGTCCTCACTTAATTCCTTAATTCCAGGTTGCTTCTCTCCTTGATCAGTTAAGATTATTATCATTTCTCCATATTGAAAAGGAAAGACGAAAATAAACACAGCGCGTTTGATTGCGATCTGAACACCAATAGATTAAATATAATCAAACACTTCCCTTTTTACGCACATCTTCATTACAATATTGATAAACATTCAGGCATCCTCAAACGGCAGATCATTTTCTCGTGTTGCTCCTTTTAACCCAGATATAGATGAATGTGTGACGGGGATGGCAATGTGTGCGCACCAATGTCTGAATACTCACGGTTCCTACAAATGTTTGTGCCACCGTGGCTACGAACTCGGAGCGGAAGGCAAGCAGTGTTACCGTGAGTTTTACCTATTGCAAGAATATATATATAAAGAATTCATCCACAGAGATTGCAAAAAGATCAAGGAACAGTGCGAGCGAACGCTTCAATTAGATTGCAAAAATTAAATTGAAAGAGAAACTCTCCCGTTTGCGATTGTGAGAAGGGGTAATAATAATAATAATAATAATAATAATAATAATAATGATGATGATGATGATGATGATGATGATGTTGGAAGGGACCTTTGAGGTCTTCTAGTCCAACCCCCTGCTCAGGCAGGAAACCCTAGACCATTTCAATCGATCAGCCTAGAGCTGGAAGGGACCTTGGAGGTCTTCTAGTCCAGCCCCGTGCTCCTCAAGCCAATATAAATCGAATCTCCCCGTGTTAGAGGAACGTCACTTAGATGAATTAGCCACTTTCCAAACCTGGAAAGGACGGGGAAAATTTGGCAAAATTTGGACTGGGTTTGGGACGGATCTGCAAGCGACTTTGCGACCCCAGTTTTGTTTAGATTTATTTTCCACCCTCTTAATTTCCTCCCAGGAATAGAGATGGAAATCGTGAACAGCTGCGAAACCAACAACGGGGGCTGTTCCCACTTGTGCCATCACACCAGCGCCGGCCCGGCCTGCAGCTGCAGCTTCGGATACAGCCTGGATGAAGACCAAAAGACTTGCGTCGGTGAACAATCGTGGCTCAATTTTGTCGTCGAGAAAAACACAACTTTGTGCAAGGGCGATTTTGCCACACTGGGCTACTTCCCAAATTCTGCCTGGGCATTCGTTTGCAAATTTTTTTTTGTTAGTAATAGTTGTGGGGTTTTTTTTTTCAGCTGACTTGGGGGGGGGAAATCCAAAGTGGGGGGCGGAAATTCAACCACACAACGTCGCTTGTGATGTGTGTAAGTGTCACAGCAGCACAACCTGAAGGTCCCTCTCTTTCCAGATACCGATGAATGCAGCGCGGGCACACACTGCTGCCAACAAGGGTGTTACAATTATCCCGGCGGATACGAGTGTGTTTGTTATGCCGGCTATCAGCTCAACCCCGCAGGCTGCAGTTGCGACGGTAGGTTGAGCGGAAGGGATCTCAGAGGTCATCTAGTCTGACCCCCACACATACACCTTATCCCGGGCAGGAATCCGTTTGCAAGTTGACTCCGGTTTTATTTTATTTTTTCACACATACACACAGACCTGGACGAGTGTTCGGCCAATAACGGCGGCTGCGAACACTTTTGTCGGAATCTGGCGGGCTCCTTTCTCTGCAGCTGCCGGATCGGGTTCAAACTCGGCGAAGATCGTAGAAGCTGCCTCTGTGAGTGTGGCCTCTGTGGGACGGGAGGACTTGAACCCGGCTCTTGAGTTCTCCCCCCCCCGGAAGAGCGAAATAAATTTCGCCCTCCGATGCTGACCGAGGGACATTGTAGAGGGCTGTTTTAAGGCTGGTTTGGTGCATTTGCTCTGCTCATGTTTCTAGTCCTCTCTGTTCCCACCTCCGCAGCCCTGGAGAAGCCCACGGAAGCCGTGGATGGACGGCGGCCAGTGATCCGTCCCCTCCCCCACGTGGCTCTTTTCCAGGAGAAGCTCAGCCAGCTTTTTGAGGAAGACTACGAGGATGAAGAGGGAGAGGGGGCTGAAGCCAGAGGGGAACACACTGTCTCGGAGACGTTCAGTAGGTGCCGAGATGAACTGCCAAAAGCCTGGCTGTCTATTTCTTTTTTTCTTTCCTTCTTTCTTTCTTTCTTTCTTTCTTTCTTTCTTTCTTTCTTTCTTTCTTTCTTTTTCTTTCTTCCTTCCTTCCTTCCTTCCTTCTTCTTTCTTTCTTTCTTCTTCCTTCCTTCCTTCTTCTTTCTTCCTTCCTTCCTTCCTTCCTTCCTTCTTCTTTCTTTCTTTCTTCTTCCTTCCTTCTTCTTTCTTCCTTCCTTCCTTCCTTCCTTCCTTCTTCTTTCTTTCTTCTTCCTTCCTTCCTTCCTTCCTTCCTTCCTTCCTTCCTCTTTCTTTCTTTCTTTCTTTCCTTCCTTCCTTCCTTCCTTCCTTCCTTCCTTCCTTCCTTCCTTCTTCTTTCTTTCTTTCTTCTTCCTTCCTTCCTTCTTCTTTCTTCCTTCCTTCCTTCCTTCCTTCTTCTTTCTTTCTTCTTCCTTCCTTCCTTCCTTCCTTCCTTCCTTCCTTCCTTCCTTCCTCTTTCTTTCTTTCTTTCTTTCTTTCTTTCTTTCTTTCTTTCTTTCTTTCTTTCTTTCTTTCTTTCCTTCCTTCCTTCCTTCCTTCCTTCCTTCCTTGAAAGGAAAGCACTTTCCGGCTTGCAACCTCCCCTGTAATATTTCCTCTTTTTCTTTCCCTCTCTCCCTGCTCCTCGCAGTCTGCCTGGACGACACCTTTGGCCCCAACTGCAGCCTCTCTTGCAAAAGATGCCAGAACGGCGGCCGGTGCAACCAGCACCGGACCGGCTGCATCTGTGCCGATGGATGGAGGGGGCTGCTGTGCAACGAAAGTGAGTCTCCCAGGGATCCCCTTTGCGTCCCCGGTGACAGACAAGGGCCCCGGAAGCAGCAGTGCGGGGTGGGAAAGAAGCAGGTCGGCTGGGGAATTCTGGGAGTTGACGTCCACACAGCAGGCTGGCTGGGGAATTCTGGGAACGAAAGTAAACCTATTACGCTGGCTGGGGAATTCTGGGAGTTGAAGTCCGTCCATTGGTCCAAATGAAAAGCTGAGATTGGGTCTCGAGGCTTAGCAGGGGATTATGGGAGTCACCACTAGTCTTCCTCTTCACAGCCTGCCCCAAAGGGACGTTTGGGAAGGATTGCAGCTCCGCCTGTCCCTGCCAAAATGGAGGCAGCTGCCATCCGGTGACGGGCGCCTGCCGCTGCCCCCCCGAAGCCAGTGGGGAGCTCTGTGAAGACGGTAAGACGGCAACACTCCTCCCTCCAGATGTACTCCGGACGTCTTTCCCGGCTGACCCCCCAAAAAACCTGGATTCTTGATGAACCCCCCCTCTCCAACCTTAGATTCCTCCGAATAGAATCAGTGTTTCTCAACCTTGACCATTTTAAGGCATGTGGACTTCAACTCCCAGAATTCCACAGCAGGCTGTGGAATTCTGGGAGTTGAAGTCCACATGCCTTAAAATGGTCAAGGTTGAGAAACACTGGTCCTGGGAATGCCCCATTGAATTCCAGGCGGTCCTCCAGTTGACGGCCATCAAGGAGTCTTGCTGACCCTGGGGGGAATATGGCTAAAGTGGGCACAGGTAGTCCCCGACTTATAACCACAACGGAGCCCAAAGTTTCTGTCGCTAAGCGAGATGTGTTGAATTGGGCCTCTGTTTGTCTCTCCTTCACAACTTCCCTCCCTTGGCTGGCTTGTCTCTTTCAGTCTGTCCGAGAGGATTCTTTGGGAAAAACTGCGGGAAAAAATGCCAGTGCGCCAACTGGGGACGATGCCACTGGGTTTTCGGCAACTGTCTCTGCGATCCGGGACGCTACGGCCGCTTCTGCCATCTAGGTCAGTGTCCCTGGGGTGGCAGCTGCTCCAGAGAGAGAGAGAGAGAGAGAGAGAGAGAGAGAGAGAGAGAGAGGGGGGGGGGGAGAGAGAGACACTCCCCGGCAGACCCCCTTGATCCCCCGTCCTTGCCCTCTTTTCAGCTTGCCCAAAGTGGGCATACGGGACCGGCTGTTCGGAGGAGTGCCGCTGCGTGCAAGCCAACACACAGCACTGCGACAAGCGAGACGGCGCTTGTGTGTGCAAGCCTGGGTATCAAGGGGACAAGTGCCAAGCGAGTAAGTTGGGGTCGGGGGGGGGGGAAGATGGGCGAGAGGGTGCCGATCAGCTGACCCGGTTCCTGGCTGGATCGGAGCTGGATGGGTGACGAGCTGGGGGCTGCGTTCACACAATGGGCCAAGCTGGGTTCGATGTATCCTGGGTTTGCTTTCGTTGTGTGGTGTGTTGCGCCCAGTTCGGAACCTGTTGGGCGATTGCCTTCCGTGGTCTGATGGGGTAAGGGTGTAGGAAAATTTGAACCCAAGACCTTCTGATTTATATTTGGATGTAGAAGGGGAAAACCTGGTGTCTTCCAATGTTTTGGGACCAACTCCCATCTCCTTCCTTCCTTCCTTCTTTCTTTCTTTCTCTCTTTCTTTTTCTTTCTTTCCTTCCTTATTCACTTTTCCTCTCGCCCTCTCTCCTACTTTTTCCTTCCTTCGTTCCTTCCTTTCATTTTTTCTCCCCTTCTCTATCCTGCTTTCCCCTTCCTTCCTTCCTTCCTTCCTTCCTTCCCTTCCTTCCTTCCTTCCTTCCTTCCTTCCTTCCTTCCTTCCTTCCTTCCACTTTTCCTCCCACTCTCCTGCTTTTTCCTTCCTTCCTTCCTTCCTTCCTTCCTTCCTTCCTTCCTTCCTTCCTTCCTCTTTCATTTTTTCCCTCCCTCCCTCTCTCTCTATCCCGCTTTCTCCTTCCTTCCTTCCTTCCATCGGTGGTTCTCTGTGCTTGAGTTGGACACACAACAGACAGCTTGCCCACCCAGATGTTCTCCTGAGTGGTTGCCCCTTAATCTTGAGGTGTGACACGGAGTTTCTGTTCCACAGTGTGTGACCCAGGCCGTTTTGGGCCAGGCTGCAGGCACAAGTGTGGGTGTCCCTCTGGCCTGGCCTGTGACCACGTGGGTGGAGAATGTCCCCAGCAGTGTCCAGAGGGCTACTATGGAGAGAAGTGCCAGCAAGGTAAGTTTGGGCTGGGCGATGCTTCTGGGGAAGAGCCAGAATATTGGAGAAAAAAGTAGGATTTATTCTGCCAGGTCACATCCCAGAAGAGGGGGGAGTTGTGGATTTGCCAAAATTTGTGGTTCACAATGGGATGCTGCTCATTAGCTAATTAAAGTAGACAAAGAACAGCTTAGTGAATGAATAAATTGAATTTTTGGGGGGCACTGATCAGGAGGGCAACGTTGGAGCCCAGCAAGAATTTGATCCAGCACATCACAAGAAGAGATTTTTTTTTTTAAAAAAATCTTTTTTTCCCTCCTCTTTAGAATGTTCTGAAGGGAAATTTGGAGTGAATTGTCTTCACTCCTGTTCTTGTAATGGTTCTCCTTGCAGTCGGTCCACCGGGGAATGCCGTTGCGTAACTGGGAAAACTGGGAAGTCTTGTGAACAAGGTAAATTAACTCTACTCTACTCTACTCTACTCTACTCTACTCTACTCTACTCTACTAGGTTTCAGTCCACGTTGTGTTTCTCCTCCTTCTCCAGAATGTCCTGAAGGCCACTGGGGAGATGGCTGCCAACAACTTTGTCCAGAATGCAAGAATAATGGCCGTTGTGACCCCATCACTGGTGCCTGCTTGTGTCCCTCTGGATACACAGGGAACCGTTGTGAAGAGGGTAATCTGCTCCTGTTGCTTTTAGAGCCATCTCCGGTGACTTTTCTCTGACCACCTTCCTAAGCTTCTAGCTGGAGAGCTCCAACCTTCCTGAATGGATTATTTACATCTGCATTTCAACAGAGCTGGTTTCTGCTTGGGGGAGGGAGACTTGGGGCTATTAAGAAAAAACTGGGCATGCTTTTCTGCCTCTTTAAGATCCTTTGAGGAAATACAATATTCTGCCCTTTGAATATTTCCTTCTCTGGGGGGGGGGAAGGGAAGGAAGGAAGGAAGGAAGGAAGGAAGGAAGGAAGGAAGGAAGGAAGGAAGGAAGGAAGGAAGGGGGAGGCGTGTGAAAGGGAGGGAGGGAGGATGTAGAAACATATGAATGACCTTTTGAACATATGAATGATCTTTTCAACAAATAATTCCACTTTCTTTTTTCTCCTGTTTCCCCTTTCAGTCTGCCCACCGGGCTGGTTTGGGCAAGGATGCCAACTCCAGTGTAACTGTGACAACGAAGGGGATTGCGATCCCCAAACAGGGAAGTGTAGCTGTGCCCCTGGATGGACCGGCTATCGCTGCCAAAGAGGTGAAAACAAACAACAAAAAGTTGGCAATGCTGCTGCACACCTTGAGGATTATCTGAGACCCTCTTTTTTCTCTTTCCAAAAGGTTTTCCAGGCCACAAAGGTCACAGGAAAAACCCACGTTGTCGACATTGTAGAAACATAACTTTAAGCACCTGAAATGCCATGAAGATGCTTAAAATTGTACTTCTCCAGTGTCCTACAACACAACCGGTTAAGCCCTCTTGGTGTAATTGCAATAATCTAATAAATACGAACATAGACAGCTAGATAGAAATACAGATAGTCAAGAAACCTTAAATTATGTCTTATTATAGAGTTTCCTATTATGGGGGATTATATTATAGCTGTACCCAAATCTGTCTCTGTAAGAAGACCTAATTTAAGTGTCTTTCACTTTCACTTTCCCTCCTTTCCTATCCCTCACCTGTGCTCCTGTTCTTACTTTCACTTTCACTTTCCCTCCTTTTCTCTCCCACCTTTGCTCCTGCTCTTACTTTCACTTTTCCCTTCCTCCCTTCGTTTTTTTTTTTTTTTTAATTCTTCCTGCCTTGGGTCTTTTCCAGCCTGCGAGCCAGGACACTGGGGTCCGGGCTGCACCCGCCCCTGCAACTGCTCCGGGGCCGAGAGAAGCTGCAACCCGGTGACCGGGCAGTGCCTTTGCGAAGCCGGCTACGTCGGCCTGCGTTGCGATCAGAGTGAGTCCCCTTCTTCGTGGGGACTCGGAGCCCCAAAGTCCCTTGGCTGTCTTTGGGTCTGTGCAAGGAGGGCGCCCTTCAGCTGGGGGGGGGGTGGTGTGAGTTTCGACAGCGCGCACGGCTGTGGTTTGATAGCGGCGGGTTTTGAAAAGTTGAGGCTATCCCTTCCCAGCCTGAAGGCCTGCCTATTAGCCGAATTTGGCACTTGGGTCTTTTTTTAAAAAAATAATCCTTCCTTCCTTTCTCTGTTTTAATTTCACCCTTCTTTCCGGCTGGCTTTTTCCACATTCACTTCCTTCCTTTTCTCCTTCCTGTCCTTTCTTCCTTTTCTCCTTGCCTCCCGTCCTTTTTCACGCTTTCATGCTTTCTCTCTCTTTTTCTTTCCTTCCTTCCCTCCTTCCTTTTCTCTTTACCTCTCACCTCTGTTCCTGCTTACTTTCACCCTTCCCTTTCTCTTTTTCCTGCTTTCTCTCCCATTCATTTCTTTTTCCTCTCTCACCTTGGTTCCTCCTCTTACTTGCCCTTTCTCCCTTCCTTCCTTCCCTCCCTCCCTCCCTTTCTCTCACCTTTGTTCCTATCCTTACTTTCACTTTCACTCCCCCCCCTTATTTTCTACCTCTCGCCTCTCTTCCTGCTTTTCCTTTCGCTTCCCCTTTCCCTCCCTTCTTTTCCCCCCCCCCGCCATCTCACCTGTTTCTCCTGCTCTCCCTTGCGCTTTCACTTTCGTTTCCTTCCCCATTTTCCCCCCCTCTTCTCCCACCCAAGAGTGCCCCAAAGGCTGGTTCGGTCCCAACTGCCAGCGGAGATGCCAGTGCCACCACCGAGGAGCCTGCGACCACGTCAGCGGCACCTGCACTTGCGCCCCGGGCTGGAGAGGAACGTTTTGCGAGAGGGGTAAGGCGGCCTTTCCCTTCTCTTGCGTGCTGCTGGGAGGCGCCGAAGTGGGCTCAGCGCCTGGCTGAATGCGCCCCCATTGAGCCATCCCTCATTTGGGAGGGAGAAAAATTGGGATGGACTTTGCAAATGGCCTCGGGAGAACAGAAGACAGAGTCACAGACTAGGCCACAGTCAGATAAAGAGGCAGCTGAGCCCAGAGAAGGAAAGGGGGCATGGGACTACCTTGCAAGGCTGGCAGCGGTTTCACTCTTCACCCCTCCCGCTATCTGAATCCCGTGCGTGACTTTCCCCCCCCCCCTGGTGATGCCACTTCCCCTGGCGCTAAGAATTCCCGATTCTCTCTTCTCAGCTTGTCCCGATGGCTTTTACGGGCTGGACTGCCAGCATGGATGCCACTGCCTCAACGGAGCCCGTTGTGATGCTGTGACGGGCCACTGCCGCTGCGCCGCGGGCTGGATCGGACCACACTGCCACCAGAGTGCGTCTCCGGGCATGAAAGTAGGATCTCTCACTTAGTTGCCTGGATCCGAAGGCGCATTCACTGGGATCCCTCTCTCTCTCTCTCTCTCTCTCTCATCTGTCTGAAGGTTGCCCGGCTCTCCGCTACGGCGAGAACTGCAGCCAGGAGTGCCGCTGCGCCAACGGAGCCTCCTGCCACCCCGTCACGGGGCGATGCCTCTGCGCACCAGGGTGGGTTGGTGCCATGTGCCAGCAAGGTATTTTGTGAGGAGTCCGTGCAGACGTTTCATGACCCAGCTAGGTAACATCATCAGTGCTGGAAGGGAGGGGGTCTTTAAAAGAAAAACAACGAAGTCCAGCGGCCTCTCGAAAAAGCACCTTTGGGACAGTCTGTTTTTCCCATTTTCTCTTTTTCTGCCATCGCAGGGTGTCCGCCAGGATTTTACGGGTCCGGCTGCCAGCAGGAATGCCTCTGCCAAAACGGCGGAATCTGCAATCCGGTTTCTGGCCACTGCGTCTGTCCGGAAGGGTGGATGGGGCTGGCTTGTGAGCTGGGTAAGGAAAAGGCATCTGGGTTTTTAATTTCTCCCCCCCCCCAACTCAGTTAACAGCGATCTAGCTTAGCGACGGAAATTGGCGCGGTCGTAAGACGAGGACCACCTGTATCGGAGGTGTCTCCTTTCTTTAGAGTGTGTCGAAGGAAAATATGGGCTGGGCTGCCGGGAGAGTTGCGACTGTGTAAATGGAGGCCGGTGTGACGGGAAGAGTGGACGTTGCCTTTGCCGTGACGGTTGGACCGGTGAAAAGTGCCAGGAAGGTAATCCGTAACGGCATTGGCTTTTTTCCTTGGTGGCCGGCGGGAGATAGGTCACTACAAGTAATCCTCAACTTACAAACATTCATTTAGCGTCCATCTAAAGTTACAACGGCCCTGTACCTAGATGGGCGTGTGTGCAACTCCTTGGAATATATTGAAAACCGGTTGGTCATAGTGGAATTACTAAGGGCCCTAGAGGTCATCCAGTCCAACTCCCCCCCATCCGCAGGGCATCTTGAATAAAAGCCCCTCTGGCCTTTGTGTTAAAACCTCCCATAATATGTACCAGTAGTACATACAATAAGTAGAATTCTTAAGCAGTTCCTCCCCTTTTTTTCCAGCCTGCCCTGAAGGGACGTACGGGAAAGGCTGCCGGGATGCGTGCGAGTGTGAACATGGGGTCTTGTGCGATCCCGTCACGGGGGCTTGTGAATGTCCACCAGGATGGCGTGGATCCCGTTGTGAGAAAGGTGACAGCTGCAAGAGGATTGTTCCTGTCTGAATAACCCTTTTGGGGACGGGGCGGAGGGAGGAAGGGAGTGGGGGGAAGGAACTCTGCACATGCTCTGCGCCCCGGTGCAGTGTTTGTGTTTCCATCGGAGGATTTTCACTTAAAAAAATAAATAAAAAGCTTCTGGGTCCTTTCACTTTGAATCTCGAATTCTGGGTTGGCCAAATTGCAGGATTATAGAGAATAGGAATGGAAAGGGACCCCCCCCAAGGGTCATCTAGCCCACCCCTCTGCAAAGGAGTAGTGAACACCCCTCAAATTAACCCCCAACCAAGAACCAATGAGAAATATTGCCTAGCTTGGCTGTTACTTCCTATTTGCAATCTCCAGGCTGCCAAAATCCAAATTTTTCCTCTCCCCCCCCCCCCGCAGCCTGTCTGCCTGGTTCGTTTGGGAAGGGCTGTGCCACGAAGTGTGACTGTCCCTTGGGGGCTCCTTGCAACCACATCACCGGCTGGTGCCGCTGCCCGTCGGGATTCACGGGCCACGGATGCGAGAAGCGTAAGTCCGGAGGCTGAAAACTCCGATTCTTCATTTGAAAAATGACAAATTAGCCCGGTTTGGATTCTGGCAAGCTCTGATGGCTTGGAAGAGAAATCCAGTCTGGGAGTTGATCCAAGAGGATTCAATTAATAATAATAATAATAATAATAATAATAATAATAATAATAAATAATGAGCTAAAAACTAAGTTCAGATTGGCAGCTGACTTCTGCCTGGCAGCTGAGTGGGGGAAAAAACAGCCAGGAAAATATTTAGAATTTAGAATCGCACAGTTGGAAGGGACCTTGTAAGGTCATCTAGTCCAACCCGCCACTCAAGCAGGAGATTCTACATTCATCGTATTGATAATGATTTGGAATGGAAAGGAATGGAATGGAATAGATTATAGAATAGAATAGAATAGAATAGAATAGAATAGAATAGAAAATTCTATTCTTCTATTCTATTCTATTCTATTCTATTCTATTCTATTAATTATTATTATTTCTATTCTATTTCTATTCTTATTTATTTCTGTTCCTATGCTGTTCGATTCTAACTGGACCCTCTTCCCTCCCACAGCCTGCACCCCTGGCACCTTTGGACCCGAGTGCGCGCACGTTTGCCGGTGCGCAGGTGCGAATCACGACTGCCACCCGGTGACCGGGAGGTGCCTCTGTGCCCCAGGGTACCACGGCAGCGGCTGCAAGCAGAGTGAGTTCACACGAGCGAGCGTGGCAAATAGGAGAAAAAAAATTGGGGCGCAACGGAAGGGAAGCCGGCTAACAGCTCCTTTTTGTAACTCGGCTTGCTGTCCTTTCAGAGTGCCCGTCGGGACGCTACGGGCCGAATTGCGAGCGGTTGTGTCAGTGTAAGAACGGCACTCAGTGTGCGCCCACCACAGGGACCTGCCAGTGTCCGGCTGGCTATATTGGAGCCGACTGCAACATAGGTAAGCTGGATTTCTACTTGCAAGGTGGACGCGGTTCGCTTAATGACAGCCAGGATATAATACGATCATAACCCCCACCTCAGTTTCGTCGTACGCTGAGGCCCACCCATATTGCACGATTTAATTTTTTCCGTTTTCCTATTTTATGGATTTTTTAAAAAAGGGGATGCTGCGACCGTTGTTAAGTGTGAAAAATGGGTCATAAGTTAACTTTTTCAGTGCCATTTTAACCTTGGTCATTAAGCGGTTATAAGTCAAGGACAACCCATGCTTATTTATTTATTGTTATTGTTGTTATTGTTTATTTTATTTTATTTTATTTTATTTTATATTTTACTTTATATTTTATTTTACTTTATTTTTATTTTATTTTATTTTTATTTATTTATTTTATCTTACCTTATTTTATATTTTATTTTATTATTTTATTTTATTAGATTTTATTTTATTTTATTTTTTATTTTATTTTATTTTTGTTTTTTTATTTTATCTTGTTTTATATTTTATTTTATTTTTTATTTTATTTTATTTATTTTATTATTTTATTTTAGATTTTATTTAATTTTAATTTTATTATTTATTTTATTTTATTATTTTGTTGCATTTCTGCAATGCATTGCCCTAAAAAGTCCAGTTTGTCTGCTTTGGACCTGCTTCTGTCCAAGGGGATATGTTGGGGAAGTCAGGAGATCAAAACTCCCCTTGGCGTTTGACAAGGCCAATTAAGGGCCATTGTGCCTTCCTCTCCCCCCCCCCCAGCTTGTCCAAGGGGACGTTACGGGCCCGACTGTGTCCTTTCGTGTCCGTGTGGCGAAAACATCCCTTGCCACCCCGTGTCCGGTTCCTGCCTTTGTCCGCCTGGCAAGTCCGGTCCCAGATGCGAAAACGGTGAGTCGCTTCCAATGGGGTCCTTCCCGAAAAATGCTCGGTTTTCGTTTTACTCGGAAGCGCGGGAATGCACCCCACAATATGCGCCCTGATTTGGGAGAAAGAAACATTAGGGGCAAAAAGAAAGAAAGAAATTAAATTAAAAAATGTAACTGATTAGAATGTATTAAAATTTTTTAAAATTAAATTAAAAAATGTGTAAATACATTAAATCACTTGAAGCCGGTCCGTTTGAGCTGTGCCTGCTTTCAACAGGCCATCCTGGGATGTGGGTTAGACTAGATGACCTCACGGGTCCTTTTTTAAGTGAAGGATTTCTGGTGCATTAGGCATCAAACGGAGCCACTTCTTAGATGTTTTTGAGAATTTGCGTCTTGTCGGGAGCCGCGTCCGACCCACAGTTTGGGGGGGGGGGCGGTTTCAGCCTGATCCCAGTTTGCTTCTCCAACAGGCTGCCCTGCCAATCATCACGGGTTCAAATGCAGCCAGATCTGCGCTTGTCAAAATGGGGCCATCTGCCTCCCAGAAGACGGATCCTGTCTCTGCGGGCTCGGCTGGACCGGAGCCTGGTGCGAAAAAGGTATTTTTTTTCTGCCTCTTAAGATGGCTTGGACGAATCCTGGTTTATGTCTGTACGGAGTCCTGTCTCTCGGAGTTCCGCTGGACAATTCAGTTCCCTTTTTTGCTCTCCGAGCTTGTTTGTATTTAGTTCCTGAACATTTTGTTACCAGACTAGATAATGATCATCAGTGGGATTTTCTTGACCTATTCCACTGATGGTGTTACCTAGTCTGGTAACGAAATGTCCGGGATTTAAACGGAAACAAGCTCGGAGAAAAAAACCACTGTCAAATTCTAAAACCCGAGCTTTGTAATTTTTTTTTTATCATTTCAAATTCCACTTCCTTGCTGTGTTTGTAGGCTAGAAAAATCTAACCGTAGAGTCCTCCAGCTTATTTAAACCAGCATTCCCCAATGTTGGCAAATTTAAGACGGGTGGACTTCAACTCCCAGAATTCCACCAGAGTTTCAAAGCACGGGGAAAAGTCTGTGAAATAAAGCATCAAATATGTAATATAAACAGGAATTCTCTCTCTCTCTCTCTCTCTCTCCAGGGTGCCCTCCAGGGAAATATGGGGCCAACTGTCAGCTGAACTGCACTTGCCAAAGCAATGGGACTTGTGATCCGGTCACGGGAATCTGCCAGTGTGGGAAAGGCCGTTACGGGAACCGATGCGAGCACAGTAAGTCTGCAATCTTGGGTTCCACGAGGGTCTTTTTTTCATGAACTTAATGCCTCTTTCCTTTGATTTCCTATTCTATTCTATTCTATTCTATTCCTATTTTCTATTCTATTCTACGTTATTCTATTGTATTCTCTATCTTCTATTCTATTCTATTCCTATTTTCTATTCTGTTCTGCATTATTCTATTCTATTCTCTATCTTCTGTTCTATTCTATTCTGCATTATTCTATTCTATTCTATTCCTATTTTCTATTCTATTCTGCATTATTCTATTCTATTCTCAACTTCTGTTCTATTCTACTCTGCATTATTCTATTCTATTCTCTGTCTTCTATTCTATTCTATTCCTATTTTCTATTCTATTCTATTCTATTCTATTCTATTCTATTCTATTCTATTCTATTCTATTCTATTCTTTCCTTATTTCTATTCTATTCTATTCTATTCTATTCCTATTTTCTATTCTATTCTGCATTATTCTATTCTGCATTATTCTATTCTATTCTATTCTATTCTATTCTATTCTATTCTTTCCTTATTTCTATTCTATTCTATTCTATTCTATTCTATTCTATTCTATTCTATTCTATTCTATTCTATTCTATTCTATTCTATTCCATTCCATTCCATTCCATTCCATCCTTCAAGGTCGGTAAAATGGGGACCCAGATTGTTGGGAGGCAAGATGCTGACTCTATAAACCGCTTAGAGAGGGCTGTGAAGCACTGCGAAGCGGCCTATAAGTCTAAGACGGGCTGTTGCTATTCTCATCCTTCAGCCTGTCCGTCAGGATTCCACGGGATCGGATGCCAAGAGCAATGCAGCTGCCAAAATGGAGCCTCGTGCGATCCGGGATCCGGAGAATGTCTTTGCCCTCCGGGGTTTCACGGCCGCTACTGCGAAAAGGGTCCGTAGCCTTCTTATATAATAAATATATCTAAGAGAATGTATTTTTCAAGAAGAGACTTTTTAAAGAGCAGCAGCAAGAATGAAAACTGTTCAGGAAAATGGCACTGCCTTCTCGGTTGCAGGCTGCGACGCAGGGAGATACGGGGAAAAATGCCAACGGGTGTGTGGTTGCGAAGGCGAAGCCCCGTGCGAGCCCTCCACCGGCCGTTGTCTGTGCCCTCCGGGGAAAACTGGAGCCAAGTGTGACACTGGTGAGTGTGCAAATGGATCCCTTTGACTTAGCAAGAGGCTGCAGGAGAGAAAATAAATAAATGCAGATTTCCGAAGCAAAATTTCCCGTGGATTTGCCAGGAAGTGTTATTTTACGTCCCTTGTGATGCTGTTGACGTTTTACGCACTCTTAAAACCGTCTTGTGTTAGAAATATTATTTTGTTTGCCGTCCACTCAAAGCCTTCAGGAAATTTGGCAAAGGAAGGAAGGAAGGAACACACAAAAAGAGAGAGAGGGGGGGAGAGGGAGGGAGAGAGAGAGGGAGAGAGAGAGAGAGAGAGAGAAAGACGCAGAGAATCCGCAGGGAAATGCCAGGAAAAATGTCTAAAAGCAGAAGTGGTTCGGGGCAGACTAAATGCCCTCTAAAGGACCCTTCAGAGATCTAGCCAGCTGGATTAGGGAACTGAAGAGCGGTCAGTTCTGCAAGACACGGGTCTAGATCAGAAGTTGGGAAAATGAGCCACTCCATTTAATCCTGCACTTCGATGCCCTTTTGCTAATCCAGGTTGCCAGCTTGGAAAATTTGGTCCGGATTGTTCCGAGACTTGTCAATGTTCCGCAGCTAATGCCTTTTGCGATGCCCAGAACGGACGTTGTGTGTGTCTTCACGGATACATAGGAACGACGTGTCGAGAAGGTAATGTGGGACTGACGGGCGAGGTCTTGCAAGCACCAGAAAGACAAAATTAAAATCGTTTTTTTTCCTGAGAAGCTAGCTTTCTCGCTGCGGGGAGCCCATATGGAATAAAGCCCTTCCTGGGGTATTAAATGCAGAATTGGCCACTTAGGATCTCTCAAGGTCCTATTTCTTACGCACTGGATGGCTGCATTAAGCTGACTCCGTTTCGAATTGCTTTAGTTGATAATGTTTACTTCTCTTCTGTCGTGTTTTCACCCGACGCTAAATAAACCAAGAATTGCTTTAGGGCGTTTTACACATTTTGATCAAAAGAGACGCTCGTTGGCTTGCACAAAATAAAACAGAAAATTGCACACCATCCTGCTTTGCTGCAGAAAGTTTTTTTTTCTCCAACTTTCTGCTTTCTTTGGCATTTCCTGGTGGTCTCCCATCCCTCCAAGCACCTTTACTGCTGCAAAAATCAGTCAGGCAAGTTACATTGTATTATCTGAGAGGAAATTTAATATTTTTTTTCCTTTCAAAGGAGGCCCACCTCAGCTGATAGAGAACTCAAGGCAAGAAGACGGACACAGTGAGTGGTTTCTACTTCTTTGTATAAAAAAAACAGCAATTTAATTAATCAGAAAGATGGAAGAAAGATAGATGAGTTTATAGATGAGGGGGGAGGGTACCTAAAACAGATGTTTTGGACCAATTGAATTGTTTTTAAAAAAGGTAAGTGGCATAGCTAGCAAATTGATTTAGTAGGTAGAAATAAAATTGATTTAGTAAGTAGAAATTAATTTTTAGCCTGCATTTCAATTTCCTCTCTCTTTCTTAGACACTTTTAATGTACTTTTAAATCCCTTTTACATATTGTTTCAAAATCCAGATCCAGAAGATTTTTAATGGTTCAGGAGGCTCATGAAAAAAAAAGGATGTTTTTTTTTCTCTCCTTGAGAAGCTAACTTTCTACGTGCAGGGAACACTTCCAAATCAAAACTTTGGAAATATTCAGTGGAATGAATCCTGGCTTATGGATCATCTGGGCCGATGCCTAATTGCTATATTTCTCCTTCCAGGTTTGGCTCCAGAGAAGGTTACAAAGACGCTATAAAATTCAGAGTTTAACCAACATTTTGCTAAGGTTTGTGGTGCGGAAGAAAAACCAACTTGAACTTTGCATGTTCTGTTAAGATATATGCAAGAGTTTGGTGCAAATGAGATTAATTCGAAATTCATTCAAATTGCCCTATAAGATTCTGCTCGGTTTCCCCCCCAAAAAAAGATTTTTAAATCGTTAAAAGTTGTTCAAAGATCCTGAATTTAGCGGGGGTGGACTAGATGACCTCCGGGGGACCATGCGACGGTCCAAATTCTTTATTTTATTTGGTTGGGAGGATCTTGGAAGACACCTTACTGAGTTCGTGTGCCTTGGGAGAAAGGTGAAAGACTTTTTGACAACTTTGTGAGAAGACCACAACTGCAGGACTCGGTCACAAGGAGTTTTAAGGGAGAAAAACTGTAATTTGGAACGACCGTTTCCAGGCAATTTTTTTGGGGGGGGGGGTTTCTTTTATTTTATTTTATATCTCTCTCCCCACAAACAGCTCATTGTAGAAAAGGGCCAAGTATATACTGCCTTATATTCAAAAGGAGTTACAATTTTTTTTGCTATGTTACCATAATATTATTTATGTAATTTAACAGTCAAAAGATTTTGGAAGTCACAGAAAAATAAGCAGAACAAGCATTCTGCTTATTTTGTTACTTCCTAAATCTTTGGACTGTTAACTTTTTTAAATAATAATAATAATAATCTGTCCCCCTTTCTCCAGATTTTACTAATAATCTGGGGGCCCAACAAATATAAGGTAAAAAAAATTGGCAGTAATATTAGGGATGAATTTTGGCACTTGATACCTGTTTGAAAAATTGGGCTCAACCCTACTTGGGGCCATTTTGCTTAATAAAAATAAAATTCAGATGGGGTAGAACCAAACCACCTTTGTTCATTTCTTTAATCCGCCAGAACAAATCAGAACTGGACCATCTTGTTTGCTTCTAATGGTCACTTTTTTTTTTGCTGTGTTTAATTCAGAAATCCTTAGTTAAAAATCTGTAAAATTCTGAGCTGGCTATGCAAGGACAGGTAATCCTTGAGTTACCACCACAAATTAGCTCTGGGACATTGCAACAGATTAAGTACATGCCGGTTGCCAAGTGTCTGAATTTTGATCACGTGACCCACGAGGAGGCTACAACGGTCGTAAATGTGAAAAGTGGTTCTAAGTCAGTTTGAACAATCACTAAACTAACTGTTGTTAAGTTGTGGATTACCTTTTTTACAGGGTCCCAAGTTCTCTTCATTCCAGTTTTCTTCGTAGGTTACGCAGAATACAGAATAAGAATCGGAAGGGACCTTAGAGGTCTTCTAGTCCAGCCCCAATCTCCTCTTGCCCCCCAGAATCCCCCAGTCTGAGAATTATGGGAGACCCCCCCAAAATTTTCCCAGATGGAAAAACACAGTCTTAAACACCCCCAAAATATCAAAGAGAGAAGCAACCTGGAACTGAGGAGAAATTTCCTGACAGTGAGAACAATTAACCAGTGGAACTCCTTGCCTCCAGAAGCTGTGAATGCTCCAATACTGGAGGTTTTTAAGAAGAGACTGGAGAGTCCTTTGTCTGAAATTGTATAGGGGTTCCTGCAGGGGGTTGGACTAGAAGACCTCCAAGGTCCCATTCTATTCTATCCTATTCTATCCTATCCTATTCTTCTTTCTCTATTCTATTCTATTCTATTCTATTCTATTCTATTCTATTCTATTCTATTCTTCTTTCTCTATTCTATTCTTCTTTCTCTATTCTATTCTATTCTATTCTTCTTTCTCTATTCTATTCTATTCTATTCTATTCTATTCTATTCTTCTTTCTCTATTCTATTCTATTCTATTCTATTCTTCTTTCTCTATTCTATTCTATTCTATTCTATTCTATTCTATTCTATTCTATTCTATTCTATTCTATTCTATTCTATTCTATTCTATTCTATTCTAATTATTTATGGGTTCACTTCAAAGGGGAGACCCAAAACCAGCCCATTTAGTTTTGCAATCTTCACCAAAAGTTGTATTTCCCAAGTGGTAGTTTGAGATTAAGAGCCATGCCACGTGAAAAAAAAACCAACCCTACTTAGTTTTATTCAAAGAATATCATTTTGTAAAATCGTATACAGCTCACCCAATGGTCCCATAGGATCGGGCTGTGGTGTAGACAAGAGAAAGGGAATCAGTCACAGTGTCGTAGAAATCTTTGAACAGTTTACGGAGGAAAAACATTATTATTATGTACAGGATTAAACGGTGGGGCTCTTAGTACAGAAGCTTCTTGGGAATATTAACTAAAAAGGGAGCCCTGGGGAATGATGGGGAAAAGGGAGCAGATTTAAGATAGGATGAGCCTTAAAAAATTGCCATAAAAGTGAGTCTTGTTCTGTGGTTTAAAAGAAAAATATATATATATAAAGGGTAGGCTTTCTCCGACGGCTGCCAGTTGCCGACCTCTTTTTTTAGGGTGCAGCACCCGTTCTGAAGTGCTGCTCTTGGCAGGAAGAGTTAAAAGTGGATTTTAAGGCAGTGGTTCTCCTACAATCCAGTTTATTAAAAAACAAAAATGGAGTCCTTGTTCGGTCCAGGAGGAAGAGACGTGGTCCAGCCTCTGGCTTGGCAGTCCCCTGGGCCCTTGAAATACCTTCCGATTCCCTCGGCATCCGCCGGGATCAAGGCGTGACCCGCTCCGACCTCTCACACGTCGGTCTCGATGCGCAGCCGTTCCATGCGCTGGACGTTGCGTTCGACGGCGTCGCGGTTGGTGATTTCCTGAGCGCAGGCTCGCGGGAACCAGCCCTTCTCTCCGTCCCGCAGGCGCTCCCCCAAATACCAGCCTGGAAGGAGATGGAGAAGGAGTAACAGGTTAAAAAAAATAATTGAATTTTTGCTGAAGGATGCAGCTCTCCATGTAACAAGTGATTTAAAAGGGGGTTGGACTAGAAGACCTCCAAGGTCCCTTGCAGCTCTGTTATTCTATTCTATTCTATTCTATTCTATTCTATTCTATTCTATTCTATTCTGCATTCTATTCTATTCTATTTTCTGTTCTATTCTGTTTTGTAATTCTATTCTATTCTATTCATTTCTATTTCTATTCTATATTCTCTTCTCTTCTATTCTATATTCTCTTCTATGTTCTCCCTATTCGATTTCTATATTCTCTTCTCTTCTGTTCTATTCTATATTTTCTTCTATATTCTCTTCTGTTCTGTTCTATTTCTATTCTATATTCTCTTCTCTTCTATATTCCCTTCTCTCTATTCTATTCTATTTCTATTCTATATTCTCTTCTATTCTATATTCTCTTCTCTTCTATTATGTTCTGTTCTGTTCTATTCTATTTCTATTCTATATTTTCTTCTATATTCTCTTCTATTCTGTTCTGTTCTATTTCTATTCTATATTCTCTTCTCTTCTATATTCTCTTCTCTCTATTCTATATTCTCTTCTCTTCTCTTCTCTTCTATTCTATTCTATTTCTATTCTATATTTTCTTCTATATTCTCTTCTCTTTTATCACTTCACCCTTTTACACACATTCAATTGTCTTTTTAAATGTTAATTTTTAGAACAGGAGATCAGTCGTAGCCTCCCTTAATTGCATAACAGATAAAAAATATTATTCCGGGTAAAAAAATGAATTAATTCATTCTGCCTGCATGACTGTGGTCTTTCTAAAGCCCCTCACCCTCTTCGCTGTTCAAGACAAGGACCACGTCGGTCTGATGGAGCGAAATCTCGTCCGCCTGCTTAGCCAGATAAGCTCTGGTGATCTCTACCTGTTGGAGTGCTGGGGAAAAAAAAAGAGTATGAATTAATGCTAGACAATATAACAATATATTTTTAATTGTATGCCAAAGACTCTGAGAGGCGCAGCTCTCATTTTGAAAAATTCAAAGCGTCAGTACGTTTTTCTTTTTTTAAAAAAAAATGCAACGAATGACCAGCAGAAGGAGCACGAAGCCTGCTTTTCTGCAACGGAGAAGACAAGACGGTCTATCTTCCTCTCGCAGACATTCCTCTATTTAAACTCCGAGAACAAAAGGTCAGGAACGTCTCAAGAGTGTCCCAAAACATCACAATCCTTCTCACACTCCAGTTTCGCCTCGCAGAGAACAGATCCCTGGGCCGGAAGCCTCTCCCGCACGGGCTTAAGCGGCCGATTTTAATTTTTTTTTCCAAACAAGGGATTCTTTCCAGCTTTCCAAATGTTGCACTCAACTCTCATTTGGACAAAGCAAGTCAGTTACGTGGCTGCGCAAGTGATGAACGAGGCAAAACCAGCTGCAAATGAACATCTGGGCCTCCTTAGGAGTCAATCTCCTTCCCTTAAAAAAGATGTTCGGGTCGCTAGAGGCAGGGAAAAGGCGTTATGCTCAGCACCCAAAAATGACTGCATTGGGCCAAGTTTCAGCTCTTGGGATCCCGCAAGCCAAAATTGATGGTTTATACGGGTTTGGTAAGAGTTCCCAAAGCTGTGATTTTTAACAAAGCGTGATCTGGGTTAAAAGGGGGGCATCACTGCTTGGAACATGTGGATTAGGAGGCACAAAACATTGTATTTTATTTTTTAAATGTGCTATTTTTTTTTTTCATTTCGTCCGGGCACCGAAGATTAAAATTCAGATTTTGTTTGTTCTTACCTCCTTTCTCTGCTGTGCTGGTTTCTTTTTCTTCTCGGTGCATCAACGCGCTGATCCATCGGGCCCTGTCGCTTCTGCACAGAGCAGAGGGTGGGTTTGTGGGCATGTCTGAATGCAATTAAACCCTAACCGGAATTTTAGCAATGTTTTGCAAGGCTTTGGGTCCAGATTTGGGGGGTGGGGGGAGAATCTGGAAGACTCCCCTCTCTTTTCCCTAATTCAGAATAACATCCACCACTACGGCAGTGTCTCAAAGTGGGTTTGAATTTCAACTTCCCAAGCTACTCTGGGATCTCTTAGTGGCCTCCTCTCCGTTTGCAAAACCAAGCTGGACTTCCCTGAGATCAGTCAAGGACAGGGCAGGTTTGACCCCCCTCCCCCGGCAATTGCAAGAGAGGGGAAAGAGGCCATTTCAGCAAGCAAGCAGAAAACTGTTTTAGGACCGGTCAGTTTCCAACTCTTTTGCTTGCTCAGAATACTCACCGTGATTCTGCGGCCAGGATGACCTCCTCCGACTTGCCTTCACTGTCCTTTTGCAAAGTGAGGCGGAAGAGGTAGCCGCTGCGGCCGAGGCCGGTCGGACTGTCTGGGGTTTCGATCTTCTCAACCGAGAGATGTTCCAACATGGAGTAGTTAAGGACGGAGTAGCTCTCCTCGCTGATCCAGAGGAGGAAAGAAAAAAAAAAATCAAAGTTGGGAAAGAGTTGAGCGGCGGACGAGAGAAAGGATTGCAAAAACAAAGCTTTTTTCCAAGGGGAGAGAGGGGATTCTGGGAGTTTTCCCACACAGGGCATCCTGGGAAATGAAGTCCACACAGGGGCGAGTGGGAAAAAGCTGTTACTATTAACGAAACATTTTTAAAATATTATTATAAATTCACGACGAATGGATGCGCTGGGAGAATAAAAAAAACAACCCAGTCCAGATCTCTGCATTCACCTTTTTTTCTTGGTGATGATCAGGACATCATTGAAGACAAAGAGGTAGCAGCTTCCTCGCCCAGACCCTTTCCGAAAAATCCCCCCATCTTCTGTCGGGGGGAGAGAGACCTCCCCCCTTTTCAACAGCCACCGAGAAGTTGAGATCAAGGGGAAATTCTGGAAGAGGCAGAAGTTTGGGTCAACTGTGAAGCCCAGAAGTGGACAACTAAACTGCCCACAGAGACCATAAAACAGAGAATGGGCTGGAAGGGACCTTGGAGGTCTTCTAGTCTGACCCCCTGCTCAAGGCAGAAGGCCTTCCTCCATTGCTGGTCAAAGGGTTGTCATGACAGGTCCCCTCTGAGCTGGAGGCTAAGAGAACCTTATTGGAGGGCAGAGCTTACCTTGGCTTTTCCAAAATATAGCTGGTTCTGCAAACTACACATCTGTTCGGTCCTTTCCATGGTGTGGGCTCCCTCGTTGCACCTCTTCACCAGGCTTTTCCAAAACAAACACAAGTCAAATGACACATCTGTTCGGTCCTTTCCATGGTGTGGGCTCCCTCGTTGCACCTCTTCACCAGCTGGAAGGACAAACACAAGTCAAATGAGTAGAGGAGAAACAGAAACTAAGAATAGAATAGAATAGAATAATAAAATACAGAGTAGAATAGAATAAAATTACAGAATAGAATAGAATAGAATATGAAGAATAGAACAGAATAATGAATAGAATAGAATATTAAAATACAGAATAGAATAGAATAGAATAGAATTACAAAATAAAATAGAATAGAATATAAAGAATGGAATAGAATAATGAATAGAATAGAATAGAATATGAAGAATAGAATAGAATAGGAAGAATAGAATTTAGAATAAGCTGAATTCCCATTTTAAAAATAAGCCAAACTCCCATTTTTTTTCTTCTTCAAATGGGGTGAGTATTCTCCAAAGTCACCACGCACCAGCAAGACTTTTTTTTCCCCCTTTCCCTTTCTTTTTCCCCAAAAGCTTTAGCCGATTTAGCCCCAAAGAAAGCCATTTCCCGTCTTTCCCGCAGATGCTGGAGGTCTCACCTTGCTGAGGGCCTTCAAAGCTTGGGTGGTGGCTCGGTACGCGGTGCTCTTCACCGAGGTCTTTTGACAAACGGTCTGAAATGGAAAAAGAGGGTTCGGGCCAACGTCTTCCCCATTTTACAGATGTTTGCAGTGCCTAGTTTGGGGGGGATCTTGATGGGTTCAGGACACCTCTGGCGCAGGGTGTCAAGAACCAGCCCAAATGTTTTCAAGGACACGAAGGACAGGTGGGTCCAGCCTGGCCAATGGAGAAGGGAATCCTGGGAAATGTAGTTGATTAAGTTCCAGAAAGCAATAGCCCCTTAGCTGACTCAGAAGGGGGGGAGGGGGAATCACAAATTGCATTAAAAAGGCAAAAAATGCAGCTAAAATAAATAATGGGTGAAGGGAAGGCCATAATAACATACCTAGATACTGTCAGTTCCCTCCCTCCCTTTTTCTCTGTTCCTCTCCCTCCCTTCCCTCCCTCCCTCCTTCTCTTTTCCTTCCTTCCTTCCTTCCTTCCTTCCTTCCTTCCTTCCTTCCTTCCTTCCTTCCTTCCTTCCTTCCTTCCTTCCTTCCCAGTTTCTACTTAGTTTACTCTGCTAATGCTGTTCAAATGTATTAAATAAAGTCTTAACTGTACAGTTAGCATTACTCTACTAAACTCTGCAACCTGGAACTAAAAAAAATTCTGTCTTAGGCAGAGGGCTGGACTAGATGACCTCCCGGCTCCCTTCCTACCGTAAGATTCCATGAAAATGCTTATAAGCGATACACTCAGGACTGCAGCAGGATCTTAACGTTTCCTACTGAGTGAACGTGACGGATGGAGCCAAGCAAAATGGGACCCGTTAGGGCTGCTTGAGGCCGGAACCGTTCCTCACTGAGGACTAGCAGCACGGCTCGTTCCGGAGGTTTGGCGATGGGAAGGCAGAACGGCCCCAGTTTTACTCACATCCATGAGGAGAGGCAGGCGGGTCACTCTCTGCATGGGGAGGATGAGGAACGAAAACAAGGGCAGGCCGCCGCATTCCGGCATCCGTTCAATTTGCTTTAACGACTCCTTAAAGGCGGCGTTGGTGGCTCTAAAAACAGAATTGGAAAAAGGGGGATCGATTTTTCTCCCCCCCCCCAGCCAAAAAAAAAGCCACTTCAGGATCCCCTTCTGGAGAAGCATTAAATCCCACCAGCACCTGCCTTTATTTCCCGGCTTGCAAACCATCACTTTGAAACTTGTTTATACAGTGTGAAAAAAAAACCTGGCCATAAGTCCCTTTTTTCGGTGCCGTTGCGACTTCGAACGGTCGCTAAACAAACTGTCATTAAGTCGAGGACGGCCTGTAGCATCTGTCAGCAAAGGGCAGATGGTCCCAGCCCAACTCACAAGAGCTTCTGGAGGGTCCTCTGCTGGTAGACCTCGTTGGAGCAGTAGATGATGTAGGGGTGAAAGTGTCCGGAGGCGTGCGCTTCCACTACATTGCTGATGTTGGAAATCACCACGCACTCTCTGTGCCTCTTCTCCAAGTCCTCAAAAAAGCTAGATAACCCCGCCCGCCCCAAAAACACACTTCGTGAGAAACTCACCCTACAATGAAGCTAAGCATCGAGGTTCTGCATGACAAACCCAACTGAAGAGGCACCGATGAGACGGTGCCATCCCTGAATGCGAAACTTTATTGAGTACACCATTTTGGCACGAATGAAAGCAAAACCAGCTATGGTTTCTTCCCACGCAAACCACTATCATTAAAATATAGAATTCTCCCTCCCTCTATTAGCGCAGGTCACCGTTGTCCAATTAAGGGTCAAAATATTGTTATGAGAAAGTGTCTCCGTGGCTTGGCAAACATCTGCGGAAACATCCTTGGCTCCCACAGCTTGACTTCCATTTCCCCTCCTCTCCTCCCGCCTATCGCATTGGCAAGCTGAGAAGCAATAATGCTGGCAATATCCAAGGCTTCGAGCTTGACACTTCGCTAGCAGGGATCTGAACGGGTAGGTCATTCGAGATGACCGCTCTACCACGCCCCACCTGGGGTTCCCATGCCTCCCCCCTCCCTCTCTGCACAACCGACCTCTTGCTGACCGCCAATATGTCCCCCACATTGGAGAAGAGGTGATGGTGCTCGGTCTGGGTCATGGTCTCGCGCAGGCTGGCCGATTTCAGAAAATGCTCCACCAGGATGGTGAGGCTATGGAGGTAGGAATACTCGGAGGTGATGATCTCAAAGATGGCCTGGGGGGGGGGGGAAGAGATGGAGAGATGATGGAGAGGAGGTGGGCAAATGATGGCTTGTTGGCTGTGCGTCGAGGCTGGAGAAAGAAGCCGGCTTGATCTGCTGGCAAAGCCTAAGCTAGAAGCAGCAAAGGTGTAGGCTTAGATATGGCATAACCATCATTAAATTGGAGTTAAAAAAAGAAGCTGTGTGGAAACCCAACATGGTTTCTCAACCTTGGCAAGTTCAAGATGGGTGGACTTCAACTCCCAGAATTCTGGATGGATGGATAGACTTCAACTCCCAGAATTCTCCAGGCTGGCTCCCCATCTTTCTATAGCTTGGCCCTTGTAGGGTTCTCCTGGTGACCAAAAGATGACCAAAGCCTTCTTTTGAACGTTGAGTTGGGTTGAAGACCATGAAAGGACACAGAAGATGCTGCCATGTTCTCAAGAAGACCTCCCTGGTTTCTACACCTTTGCTTACCTCTTGCCTCTTACGTTCTTCTGGGGTTATCCAGTCCAAGATGCCGCTTTCCAGGACCTGCAGAAGACAAATTCAAGAAATGTTCTCCTGATCTCTGAATTCCTCGTTTGTGGGGCTGATGAAAAAGACCATCAAAGAAAAAGAGGAGAGGAGAGGGGAGGGGATGGACTTTGAGAAGGACCATCCATGCGGTGGAAGTTCAGTCCAGCTTCTTCTCCCAACAGGACTCACCAAGGGGCCTTCAAGAAGTTCTAGAACTTCTAGAGGCCTTCAAGTGCTCTTTTTGGCTTTGTGCTCTCCAGATGTACACACTTCACTTCTCAGCTCTGGGGAGGTGAAGGGTTCACATCTGGAAAGGTGAGGTCCACACCTATTGTATTGTATTGTATTGTATTGTATTGTATTGTATTATTCTATAATTCTATTGTATTCTGTAATTCTATTCTATTCTTTAATTCTATTTTATTCTTTAATTCCATTCTATTCTATTCTTCTTAATTCTTATTCTATTCTATTATTCTATAATTCTATTGTATTCTGTAATTCTATTCTATTCTAGAATTCTTTAATTCCTATATTCTGCTTTTCTTGCAAATTATCATAGCCAATCTGAAATTAATATCCTTTCATCCCCCCTAAAAATTTAAGTGGGGGGTTGGAGGGAAAGTTTGAGTTAAGTTTTTTTTTTTTAAAGTAATATTTTATTCCATGAGAAACTGAACAAATGGAAGGACAAACGATGAAACAAGGACTGCCCTCTGAGGGATCCCACAGCTTGCGTCTAAATCAGAGGCAATCGCGCACCTGGGTGTGGGTGTGTGTTTGTGTGTGTGTTTAATTACACAGCCCCCCCCCCAGATCCGGGAATTTCCAAGCTTCTTTGGACTTATTGCTTATTGCAACACTCTACGTCGCGTTTCCTCCTGGCTGCTTTAGGCAGTGAGTCAAACGGGCGAAGTCTCTTGCCATTCCTCAAATTTCTCTTTTCCTGAAGAGGGGCTTATGGGAAAGAATCAGGTGTGCGTGTTTTGTTTGTTTGCCTGTGTCTGTGTGGGCGTGTGGGTGTGACTGTGTGTTCCCTCTGCATGTCAGGTGCCCTTTGCACCTTTGGTGTCTCCAAAGATGGGCAGATATTTACCGGGTCGATATCGACTCAGCCGAGGGAGAATTGTGCTGCCTGTGTTGTGTTTCTGAGCTTGGTGCCACGCCTTCGTCTCGCCCTTCCCTACCTCGGGCTGTTGGCTCCAGGTGGCGTGAGCAGGACGGTAGTTTTTCACCACGATGGCAGGCGGATGTTCTTCAGGAATGGCGTCCAGGTCGAGGAGGTCATCGTCCGACTCGTGGTTGATGGAGTTGAGGCCTTTTTCTCGGATCTCTTGATACAAACGGGGGTCTGGCAAAGAGAACAGAACAGAATAGAGCTGGAAGGGACCCTGGAGGTCTTCTAGTCCAGCCCCCTGCTCGAGCAGGAGAACCTACACCATCTCGGACAGGTGATGTCTAGTCTTTGCTTAAAAATCTCCAGTGATGGAGCGCCCACGATTTCTGGTGGCAAGCTGTTCCACTGGTCAATTGTCCTCGCTGTCAGGAAGTTTCTCATCCCGGTCAAAGAGATGCTCTGATTTCAAAAGAGTTTTGCGGGCCAACGCACAAAAACACTTCGGTGGGACAAAGCAGCAACCACAAGCCCAGGGCAAAATCTAGGTCTGCATAACAAACCAACAGAATTGGAAGGGACCTCCGAGGTCATCTGGCCCAACCCCCTGCTCCAGCAGGAAACCCTATACGATTTCAGACCAATGGCTGTCCGATCTCTTCTTTAAAAACCTCCAGACGTGTCCAACGTTGGCAACTTTTAAGACTTGAGTTTTCAACATCTGAAGAAAGGACGATCAAAGGCAGGGGACGGCGCGGGACTCACCGTCTTTGAACGAACCGCCGTGGTGCTGCAGACGCTTGCGCCCCAGAGTCCGCTGTGGGGAAGATGGGAATCTGCCGTCAGTGCGTGAGGCTGGAGTCCCCCCCCCACCCCACGTTGCCTGGTTCAGCCAGGCCGATCTAAAAAGGGTTAAATCAGGGCAACTGGACCAGAGCTTATTGAAACTAAGATGCTTCGTTACTCAACCAAATAGGGGTAGCCTTTGGCTTGCAGCGAATTGAAGATTAACATGATATCATCATCATCATCATCATTTTGAACTTATTAGACCTGAATATTCTGACTTTGCAATAAAAGCACCCTACTTGGAACTGCCTATATATTCAGATGCTACCTTAACAGCTCTTAGGCCTTTGCGCAGGATTAGAACTATTAAGTTTTCTTCCAGTCCCAGACTGTGAATCAAATTGAATGTTAAATCAATAATAATAATAATAATAAACCACTGTTGTTTTCTACCAGTCCCACACTGAGAATCGAATTGAATATTAAATCAATAATAATAATAATAATAAACTGTTAAGTTTTCTACCAGTCCCACTGTGAATCAAATTGAATATTAAATCAATAATAATAATAATAATAATAAATTATTAAGTTTTTTACCAGTCCCAGACTGTGAATTGAATTGAATATTAAATCAATAATAATAATAAACCACTGTTAAGTTTTTACCAGTCCCACTGTGAATTGAATCGAAGATGAAATCTTAATAATAAATAATGAACTGTTGTTTTTACCAGTCCCAGACTGTATTTCGAACTGAAGATTACATCTTAAATAATAATAGTAATAACAATAATAAGAAGAAGAATCAACTGTTAAACTTTTACCAGTCCCAGACTGTGAATCGAATGGAAGGTTAAACCTTAAATAGTAAATAATAATAACAAATAAAGCAGAGGCAGATCTCGACTTACGACATTTCGTGGCCGTTCAAAGTGACAACGCCACTGAAAAGGGTGGCTTAGGACCGCTGTCTTTTTCACCTACCTTGTTCCTGGCCGGGGCCTGGCTAGGGGGGGGCTTGGCGTCTTCCAGCACCGGCTTGAGACCCCCCGGGGCCCTGACCGGCTCGGCTCCTGCCCCGTTCTGCAGGTCCTTCATGGCTGCCCGGTAGGACATGCTGCGGAGGTTGCGCTTCAGTGTCCCCTCGCCTGCGTCCAACTCGTCCTCCAGGGAAAGGCTGGGTGCCGACAGGCGCTTGGGGTCGCAGCGGGCCCCCTCTCTGCCCCCCACCACTCCATCGGAGAAGCTCTGGGGGCGGGCGGGAAGCTTGCACTTGGGGTCTTCGGCTAAGTTCCTGGGGATGAGCTGCTGGGTGCCCACCTTGAGGGCCGCCGGGCTCTCCGTGCTCAGGACGACCAACCGCGGAATGGAGAGCGGGGGAGAGGGCTTGGGCGGGGGGCCGGCATCCTCCAACGAGGTCACAGAGGTGCGTTTCCCACCTGGAGACAAGCCGTTGTTGCTGATGGGTTGATGGTCCAGGAGGGAACCTTGGTCCCCTGGAAAGGCGGTTGAATGCCGTTGGGCCATGTCGATCCCGAACACCCCTAGAGGGACGGAAAAGAGAGGGAACCGTGGCTTAGCCAATAGCCACGATTAAGTGAGACCTCACAAACTGGGGCTTAACAAGGACTCAAAGGGAAGAACTGTTTCTTTAGTCCTGTTTTTTTTTTTTTTTTGGAGGGGGAGACTTTCTTTTGTTCCTGCTTTACTCTTTATTCATCTGTTTTTGTGCTATATGTGTGTGTGTGTGTGTGTGTGTGTAGAAGTAGAACTAGAAGTAAAAATAAAAGTAGAAATAGAAGAAGTAGAAATAAAAGTAGACATAGTAGAAATAAAAGTAGAAATAGAAGTAGAAATAAAAGTAGACATAGTAGAAATAAAAGTAGAAATAGAAGTAGAAATAAAAGTAGAAATAGAAATAGATAAAGGTTTATGGTATCGGAGAAAGGACACCAACCCAGGTCAGCCTTCAGAATCTGGCATTGAAAAAGGACAAGTTGGGGCAGGATTTTCCAGACCGGATCTTTAAAGCTGGACCTGGAGAGGGAAGAGGAGGAGAAGGAGGAGGAGGAGGAGCAAGCTGGCTTTTCTTGGCACAAGCGTGCACGCTCTCTCACTTCTGCACACCCACACGAACCCAGGGGCCAGTTTAACCTGTCCTACCACTTTTCTGAAGGTCACTTGCCAGCAAGCCCAGCTTGGATACAGAAGCTGCTTTTTCTCTTCTGTGCTAGCTGGCTGGGCAGCTGTGTGTGTGTGTGTGTGTGTGTGTGTGTGTGTGTGTGTGTGTGTATGTGTGTGTGTGTATTGCTGATTGGCGGAAGAGCCAAACTTTAAAGCTCATCAAAACAGAACAAAACATGACATCCAAAACTTAAAGGCAATTAAGCAGCCAAAAACTGTCCCCAGAAAAAGATATTTTTTTTAAAAAAAAAAATGGAGTGAAGGATTTGAAGGGGGAGTGCTGGAAAAGGATTTTCACTCTGTGTGTGTGTGTGTGTGTGTGTGTGTGTGTGTGTGTGTGTGTGTGTGTAAGAGAGAGAGAGAGAGAGGGAGAGGGAGGAGGAGGAGGAAAAATGGAATTTGTTGAAGTTCGGTGCCAAATGTTTGAAAAATATCGGGGAAAGGAAGTAAAAAAGGCCCTGGAATCGAAGCAAATTGGAAAAAAAAGAGTTTCCTCAGCTGGCAGCCGGAGTGAACACTACAACCTCCATCATCCCCAGCTAACCATCCCCATCATCCACAATTCCCCCTTCGTCCAGAATGGAAGAAGCCGTTTTGAGAAAGCAAAACTACCTGGGGCAACCAAGATGAACTGTGATGTTCACACCCACCCATCCACCCACACACAAACACACAAACCCAGGGCTTTCTCACTCGGAGCTCACCCATTTTGCAAAAATAATCTGATTTTTATGCATATTTACCATGCAGCGGTTTCAAGATCAGCACCTTTGCATCCCCGCAAGGCTGAAAACTGGAGGGTGGCAACGCAGCTGGAGAAAGCTGATGTTTGAAGGATGCCCAGTCATCTCACAGCTGGGGTCGAGGATCCCCCCCCAAAATAAAACAAAAAGCCACTTCAACACAAGAAACTTTTTGGGACCCTCCACCAAGCACCCCCAAGCAGACCGGAGGGAACTAAAGCAAGCACAGGCAAGGTGCAAACCAACATCCCCCCTGTCCGATTTGCAGGGTGTGTGTACAATCCAACATTGTTTACAAGAGATTAATCGGCCGAGCCTTTTTTGGGCTTGGTTTGAACCGCGTTCATCTGGCTTCGGGGCGAGGCACAGCTGCACACAGCTCTCATCAGGCGGGTGTTGAAGTCAGTTTAGGGACCATCCTTGCTGCACAACAGCAGTTGTGATTGTGCACACCCAGATCCCACCCCAAAATTCTCCTCTTGAAATCCTGCGGGAGGGGAAGAGCATCGGCGGCGTTGCAAGCTGGAGAAATCGCAAAACTGCAGTGATGTAATCCAGCTGTTAAAAGTGTTTCTCCAACTTGGGCCCTTGAAGATGGGTGGGAGTTCAGCTCCCAGAATTCCCCACCAATGGGGATTCTGGGAGTTGAAGTCCATCCATCTTCACGTGCCCAAGTTAGAGAAAATGCGGCGTTAAATGACAAACAGGCCATTCGGGAAGCAGAAAGACGCCCCCATTCTTTGTCCAAGCTCTGTGCAAAACAATTTAAAATATTAATTTTCTACCGTGTAAGTATGGCCAAGTGTTGGACACTAACTGGAGCGGAAAGGAAGAGACCGGGATTCTTGCCAACGGCAGATCCAGCTAGCTTCCTCGCTAGCAATATAACCATGGTTTGCTCTCCTGTTTTTCCAGGATAACTTTCAACTTCCCAATCGGAGTCATTTCCTGGTGGTCTCCCATCCCTGCTCTTAATCAGATGGGGCAGAATCAGGATCCCACCCGGCGGGATTCTAACCCAGTAGGGACAAGGAGGCCACTCTGCCTTGCGTGAACTGACACTGATGAGAGTTCACAGCCGAGGGTGAGTCTTGGAGAGCTGGTTGTGTGAAAGGAACAGCTTTGCCTTGAACAGGGTTGGGGCAAGGGTGTTGCGGGGACACAACCTCTGCAGGGAGAGGACCGGAGCATGTATTGTGTTAACTCCACCCGCATTCCTTCCAATGCTTTCAAGGGACACTGATTAGATCTGTTGGGGCCTGGCAGAGGCTAACCCAGGTTAGAAAACCCCCCCCCCCAGCATTCAGACATTCACTGAACGCGGCTCTCTTGTGCATGCCAATCTCATTTCCCGTTTCTCAAAAGGCTCCCTTCCTCCCCTGCAGGAAATCTGTTTTTCTGCCTCGTTCTCAGGCAGCTGGAGAATAACAGAGTTGGAAGGGACCTTGGAGGTCATCTAGCCCACCCCTGTGCTCAAGCAGGAAAGCAGCCCTAGACCATTCCAGTCAAATGGTGGTCCAGTCTCAAAAACCTCCACTGTTGGAGCCCCCACAACGTCTGGTGGCAAGTCGTTCCACTGGAAAATTTCTTTGCAATTTCTCTCCGGGCCAAACAAAAGGGACCCCTTCCCCTTCTTTGCACCCTCCGGAATGCCTCCCAAGGCTTCTCCTGGGACGGAATTGGGGGTGCCCCAAAGAGATCGGAGCCCCCCCATTCTCTTAGGAGGAAAGCAAACGGGGGGGGGGCTGCCAAGCGAGGCTAAAGAAGACTCCCCCTCCACGAGGGGTGCAGGCGCCGCCGCCCTCTCCAAGGGGCTGGAGGTCTCCAAAGCTTTGCGCAGGGCTCGCGCGTCCCCCAGGCGCACCATTCCTTCCCTCCATCCTAAACCCCCACTTGGGGAACCCCTCCAACCGAGAGGCGAAGGACAGAGGAAGGGGGGGGGCTTCCCAAATCAGGACCTAGAGACCCCCCCCCTCGCCAGCGCGCTTCCCCAACCGCGTGCCCCTCTCCAACCGCGCGCCCGGATGCCCACCTGCCTCTCCTTTGCTGGGGAAGCCAGCGCGCCAGCTGCCCGGAAGCGCGCAGGGCGAGCCCAGCACAGGTTTGCGCGGAACACCGCCCGGCGGAGAGGCACACCTGTCCCTGCGCCCTCCCAGGCGCTCTTCCCGGCTGGGCGGGGCGGAAAGGAGCCGAGGGAGGCGGGGGCGGAGAACCAGCTGGCTTCTCTCTCTTTCTCTCTTCCCCTCGCCGCCAGCAGTTGCAGGGATCTGTCCCGGTGGAGACTGGATCTCCCCAAGTGCAGGGTAGATCTGTCCTGGTGGAGCCTGGATCGCCCCAGGTGCAGAGTAGATCTCTCCTGGTGGAGACTGGATCCCCCCAACTGCAGGATGGATCTCCCCAGCTGGAGAGTGGTGGAGACTCAGGGTGCAGGAAGGGCACAGGAGTGGGGGGAAGGACAGGGTCTCTGGGAAAACAGCTGCCGCGGGAACCAAACCTTGCATGGGGGGGGGGAAATGGCTTCATTTGTGCCCCCCCAGCTCCTCCTCCTCCTCTTTGGGGGGGCGCCCCCTTGCAGACAAAGGGCTCTCTGGCTCTTGCCTCCTGGGAGTGGTTTTACAGCTTTTGTTTTTCCTGTACTGTATGGGTTTTATTATTAATCTCTGCCCCCCTCCCTTAAAAAAAAGATGTTTTTTTTTTTTTTAAAAAATCTCATTTCACTAGAAGCTTGGGAGAATTTGCAAGCAGGTCCAGGCAGGTCCAGGCAGAGGAAGCAGTTGGAAACTTTCCTTCAGATCTTGTATTTTCTTTCTTTCTTTCTCAGCTTATCTCTTCTCCCTCCCTCCCTCCCTCCTTGGGTTTCTTGACTTATTTACTTATTCTTTATTTACTGGAAACAGTTCATTTAGCGACAGCTCAAAATTGCAGAGGCGCTGAAAAAGTGTGACTGGGGACCGCTTTTCACACTGAATGACCGTTGCTGCATCTCTGTAGGTCACATGATCAAAATTCAGCTGCTTGGCAACTGACATGTACTTAGGACGGTTGCAGAGTCTCCCGGGGTCACGTGATCCCCTTTTGCGACCGTCTGAGAAGAAAAGTCAATGGGGAAGCCCAGATTCACTTAACACACGTGTGACTGAACAAATGAGGGAAGAAAGATCGTAAAATGGGGGCAAAACTCAACAAATGTCTTGCTTAGCAACGGAAACTTTGGGCTCGATTGTCATAAGTCGAGGACTGGCTCTAAACGCTCACGCAATCTGGACTTACGTGCTGCCTTCCTTCCTTGCATAGTCCTGAGGGCGGTGGAAAGATCCTCTCTTAAGGCCCGTTGGATTCAGCGGACGTTCCTTCCAGAGGACTAGAAACTTAACAAGATTTCAATTAACTGCACCTTTCAGAGCAATATATCCAAATTATGCTGTCAGACTCACCAAAATTCCTGCTCCATCCATCAAACCCCGGGTTTCCCCCACTTGGGTGCGGCTAGTTTTCAATCATGGCTAGGAAGTTGTTAGTCTTCCCCTAGGGCTGGAAAGGGACCTTGGAGGTCTTCTAGTCCAACCTTCTTCCCATCCAGAAAAGCAGTTGTAATCTTCAGAATAGGCTTTCCCTACAGCGGGTGGGGTAAAAATGATCTTCATCTACATCAAAAATCAAATATTTTGTTATTTAGGGAAAAAAACCCGAAAAAAACTTCAAGGCACCTCCGACTTCTAAAACCGGGGCGCCCTCTGCTGGACAAAGCTGCCAACTGCTAAAGAAAAAAAATCAGTAAAGGATTTAAATTTGATATAGCACAGTGATGGCGAACCTTTCAGAGACCGAGTGCCCAAACTGTAACCCAAAATCCACTTATGCATCGTCGGGTGCCGGGTGGGTGTGGCCCATTGGGTGGGCGTGGCTGCGGTGGTAACAGCAGACTGGGCGGGACTAAAAAGTTCAATCAATTCCAACTTTGCAAGATCTTTTTTTTCCCCCGCGAGAAATTGAAATTGACTGATTGATTGAATCTTTTTTTTTTCACACGGCGGCGGAGGCCTAAAGCAAACAAGTTTTATAAAACCCAGCTGAAGGCCTAGGACTGGGGCGATGGCGCGCGTGCAGCCTCTGGCACCCATGCCATAGGTTCGCCACCACTGATATAGTGCGTTGTGTTCTCATGCCTTGTTTGTTTGTTTGTTTTTAAAATATGTTCACAGGGTGCCTCTGGGTTTTACTTTTATTTTTTCCCCCATTTTCATCGATAACCTCCCCCAAGGCAGTTCTGCATTAATTAATAACTGCCACCTATTTAAAAATTCTCCTGGGCCGTTTGGGGGCTTCTAGCCCCAAATGCAAAAAAATAAAAAAAATAGAAATTAAAATCCCCCAATGAAACAACCCTCCCCAAATTTAAAACAACTGAATTTTTTTATCACACGTTCATTAAATGCATCTACTTGGAGAGAGAGAAAAATTCATCGATAGACTAAAGAGTGCTAAATACAAAATAAGAAAAAGTTACAATTTATATACAGATTGAAAGGAGGAGGGGGAAAAAACTCATGGCCCCAGAAAAAACAGCCGGGTAATCATAATTAATAAAAGACATAAAATGTTGGCCCCTGTCAGGTTAAGGAAGGCAGGCTTGTTAGCTTGTTGGCCACACAATAGCATCTGGAAACGTCTCAAGAAATGGGAATAAAATCACAATTGAAGAGTGGAGGTTGGTTCTCCGGGCTTGTGGGTTGGTTTCCGAAACGTTTCATTACCAAGCTAGGTAACGTATTCGGAGGAATTGAGGGAATGTTGGTGTCGGTGTTCTGTTGATAAGGGCTTCGTGTGGTCAGTAGGTCTCATGGGGAGGTCCCATTGGGTGAAGATCCCATCAGGTGAGGGTCTTGTAAGGGTGAAGTTGCATCAGGTCAGGGTCCTTGGGACCTGTATCGACCTACAACCAGCCTTCAAATCCCAGAAATCAAATCAACTGGAGACAGCATTGATCCTCAACCATCCCGCGCAATCCCCCATTCCCACCAGCAGTTCACCTCCCAATGACTCTGACCCGAATCGGATTTGTTGCACAGACAGACACTCTTGAGACTGCAGGCCTGGTGTGTGAGACGCATTTTGTTTGGCTGTCGCTGGCAGAATTGGTCCACAAGCGATAAAGGTGATACGCAGAAACACACACACACACACACACACACGCCGTTTTCGTATAAAGGAACCGACTCAAAAGGCAACATAGAGTTTTCCATACAAAGTTGGGAAAAAACTAGGAACTTTGACCTCCCCGGTGACCTTTGTCCTATGGGGTGACCTTTGTCCTATGGGGTGACCTTTGTCCTATGGGGTGACCTTTGACCTCTTGGGCGACCTTTGACTTCTGGGGTGACCTTTGACCTTTCTTGTGACCTTTGGCCTTCCCGGTGACCTTTGACCTATGGTGTATGTATGTATGTATGTATAATGTGTATATATGCCAGTTTCTTAATATTAGCAATCACGGTTGGATATTCAGAAGGGCTTACTGTGGGACAATTAATGATCACAGACGCAATAATGTATTAAACGAGTAACGTTGATGAAGACGGTCTGGGACAAACTCAGGAAAATAAATGCCTTCCGGTGACCTTTGACCTTTCCGGTGACCCTTGACCTTTCCGGCGACCTTTGACCTATGGGGCGACCTTTGACCTATGGGGCGACCTTTGACCTTCCCGGTGACCTTTGACCTATGGGGTGACCTTTGACCTTTCCGGTGACCTTTGACCTATGGGGTGACCTTTGACCTTTCTGGTGACCTTTGACCTTTCCGGTGACCTTTGACCTATGGGGTGACCTTTGACCTATGGGGTGACCTTTGACCTTTCCGGTGACCTTTGACCTTTCTGGTGACCTTTGACCTATGGGATGACCTTTGACCTTTCCAGTGACCTTTGACCTATGGGGCGACCTTTGACCTTTCTGGTGACCTTTGACCTTTCCGGTGACCTTTGACATATGGGGTGACCTTTGACCTATGGGGTGACCTTTGACATTTCCGGCGACCTTTGACCTTTCCGGTGACCTTTGACCTTTCTGGTGACCTTTGACCTTTCTGGTGACCTTTGACCTTTCCGGCGACCTTTGACCTATGGGGTGACCTTTGACCTTTCTGGTGACCTTTGACCTTCCTGGTGACCTTTGACCTTTCCGGCGACCTTTGACCTTCCCGGTGACCTTTGACCTTCCCGGTGACCTTTGACCTTTCCGGTGGCCTTTGACCTTTCGGGTGACCTTTGACCTTTCGGGTGACCTTTGACCTTTCCGGTGACCTTTGACCTTTCCGGTGACCTTTGACCTTTCCGGTGACCTTTGACCTGTGGGGTGACCTTTGACCTTTCGGGTGACCTTTGACCTATGGGGTGACCTTTGACCTATGGGGTGACCTTTGACCTTTCCGGTGACCTTTGACCTTTTCAGCGACCTTTGACCTATGGGGTGACCTTTGACCTTTTCAGCGACCTTTGACCTATGGGGGTGACCTTTGACCTTCCTGGTGACCTTTGACCTGTGACCTTTGACCTTTCCAGCGACCTTTGACCTTTCCGGCGACCTTTGACCTTTCCGGCGACCTTTGACCTTTCCGGCGACCTTTGACCTATGGGGTGACCTTTGACCTTCCTGGTGACCTTTGACCTATGGGGTGACCTTTGACCTTTCCGGTGACATTTGACCTATGGGGTGACCTTTGACCTCTCCTGTGGCTTTTGTCCTGTGACCTATGACCTCTCCACTCCCTTCCTCCCCCTCCAGTTTCTTACTCTCAGCTAGCACACCGGTCCCATTCCCACGATCCTGGCCTTTATTCCCTGCTTTCTTGGCATACTTTGGCCAGCTACTTTGAAAACTCACTTTCTGATTCTGATTTTTTTTATTTTTTCAAAGATGTGACTGGATCTGATTTACAACTTTTTTTTTTTTAGAGTATGTGTGTGGGTGTGTGTCCAGCTGTTGGCACTCCAGAACTGGCTCGTAAATCGCTTTTGAGGGAGGGGAACCATCGTAACTCCAAACGTTCACCAAATGAACGGGTTGCTAAAGTGAGGACAACTTTAGAGATGACGACACAGCGATTAAAAGTGGCATGTTTCATTTTTTATTTTTATTTTTATTTTGCCAACGCTAACAACCAATGAAACGACTAGTTGAATTCATGGGATCGGAAGTCACAGACATTTATTTATAATTTTTTTTTTGCGGAGTGGGTGGGTGGGTGGGCGCAGCAGAAACAGTTTTAAAGTCACTCTTTTAATCGCATCCAGGTAAATTTGGGGCTGAAACCAGCCCAGGTAAACCGAGAAGGCTGGATTTGCATCGGTCAAAATTCGGTCTCACTGACCTTGGTCTCGAACCGCTTTGAAAAAAAAAAACCACTGGCGAGGTGGGCAGGAGAGATCTGAAGGGGTCTGCAAATCTGGAAGCCCAAAGGGGGAAAAAAAATTTAAACCAAATAAAAAAAATTCCCCCAAACCCATTTGCACACATCTGCCCTCCACATCTGGAGTCTAATGAGAAAAGTCGCTTTTTTAAATAGAAGAAACACCAGTGAAATTAAATTTCCTCGCTTCTTGCGTTGTGAGTCTCTCTGATCTCTGAGTGCAACATTACGCTCACAATTGACCCAAGCTAAATTTGAAGTTTATTTGCACCTTCCTGGCTGTGACAGAGAAAGAAGATCGGATGGAAGCTAACATGATGGTAGTTAGGAAGGAAGGAAAGAAGAAGAAGAAGAAGAAGAAGAAGAAGAAGAAGAAGAAGAAGAAGAAGAAGAAGAAGAAGAAGAAGAAGAAGAAGAAGAAGAAGAAGAAGAAGAAGGAGAAGGAGAAGGAGAAGAAAAAAAATATAGAACGTAGAGTTCTAATCAACCACCGTTTAATTCGTGGCATGGTTAGGAGTGCTAGAAAATACGATTCTTTGCATTTCTCTATGTGGGATGAAAGACAATTTGGTCTGTCTTCTATATTCATTTATTTATTTTCCAAAGAATTTTTGCAGAACATTTGCTGATTATCGTGGCTGAAATTCTCAAGATTAATTCTTCTTTCAGAAGAGGGAGAAAAGGCCCAGGCAGGGAAGAAAATTTAGAATAATTACTACCAGCCTGATCCAGAACATCTCCAAAGGAAATTCCTAAGAATAAGGATAAGTTGGGGGGGGGGGATAAATCTTTTTTTCTGTGGAGGGAAGGTGGGGCTGGAAATATGAAAACTTGGCACCGCAAACTCTTCTTTCTCTCGCCGGCCGAACCAAGCTTGCCTTCGCTTAATCGAGATCAGTCGGAGAGAGGATTAATTTAGGCAGTTGAACCCCTAAAAATTAAAATTAAAATTTTTGTTTTACCCAGCCCACTGTCCCGGGCCTCTCAATTCAGAAGACCAACAGGTCTAGGAAGCAGTGAAAAGAGTTTGCCTGTTGAAGCCCGGGTAGAAAAAGTTACGGGCCATGAAAGAAGAACATGGACTTGAACACTGGGAAGTTGTCCATCAGACACAGGAAATGTGGAATTTGCAGGAAGTTCCTGGAGGAAGTGGGGTACGAGGGATGCACGTGGACCTCAGGGGAAGAGAACAACAGAGGGCAGAGAGAGTGAGAGAGAGTCAACGTGGTCCTCAGCACGGCGATCTCCAGGAGAACATCTTGAGATAGAAGGTCACCATTGTTGTCACAGTCCTGGACAGGACAGGCAGGTCTGGGGGCTTCAAAGGGAGAAGGGTTGGGGTCTGGGGACAAGTGCATCTTGGATGGCTCAGCAGCATGGTCTGTAACATGGAGAGGGTTGGATGGGGAGGGTCGTGGGGGTCCTCCACCTGGCGTCTCCCTCACCGGAAGCCCACGTTCTCCCACAACGCAACGGCGAGGTCTGTTCGGTGGGTGGGCTCGACCGATGAGAAAGAGAGCTGTCCGCGGGGGGTGGGGAGGGGTTTCTCCTGCCCCAGGGTCCTTCTGCCAATCTTCCGCTCGCTGGGGAGAGGGCCAACGGGCGGCACCTCGGCCTCCTTCGCTGGGCATCCTGGCGGGGGCCCACCCTCCTCGAGCGTCTCAGAGATGGCCGACGGAGTTGAAGGCTCCTGGCTCGGAGGCAGCTCCAGCCATGTTCAACCAGGCATCCAGGGGATTCTGGGAGGAAGGATGGAAGGGGGCGTTCTCGGTAAGGGTCAACATCATTGCGTAAGCCTACGAAGCACAGAAGAAAAACAGCACGTAAAAGAGGCAGCGAACAGGGGAGAATCCAAGCTCTGTTTCAGGATCTGGAAGTGGACGGTGGGGGGGGGGGTTCCAGCTGTTGGAGAGGGGGGAGATTTCAGCTCCCGTCACCCAAAGACAAGGAATTGTGGGCGCTGCAGGGCGTCCAACCTGCTCGAACTCTTGTTTGGAGAAACCTGGGCTTAATTTGCACATCTCCGGATTTGCGCCGTCCCCCTCTGAGACTCCTGACCTGACAGCTGTTAAACAGAAAGTGCCCACCAAAGTACTCTGGCCCGCAATTTCTCTCTGTTTGCAAAAACAAACCCTTTGGAACTGGTTGCTACGGAAACTGGAACAGTTTTGATTTCATTATCTATGGCAGGAGGTGTCAAACTTGCTGCGTCGTGTGACGCATGGCGACGTATCTCTGGCTTTCCTTGCCAGAGATGGGTGGGCGTGTCTTCTGCGTGACGCACCCAGCCCATGGGCTGGCAGTTCGACATCCATGATTTGTGGAAAGCTCCCAGAAAGGCCAAAACTAAATTCTCAATTCTCGCCGAGAATTCCCGATTCTCGGGAAGATACCTGAACAAACCCACCCGCCAAATCCTCAGAGGAGGCAAAATCTAGAAGGAAGGCCAAGGCAACGGGACTCTCTCTTGGCAGCTTTCTGTCCTTGAAAGAAAATCAATGATTTGAGTGGCATCCCGTTGTCTTCTCAAGCTCGAGACGGAGGTTACAAAACAAGGCGCACAAATAGCAGGACACTGAATCGTTAGTATACCTTTGGCAGATTAGTTTCAAATAATGAGAAAGACAAGAGACATGCATGGGAACAGAAAATAAAAATGAGCTTGCTTTCTAAACAGGAAAGGAGGCAGAAACGGGGGTCTCTCCTGGGCCCCCCAAATGGGAGACTTTTGTTCTGCGAAGTGATCCTCGCACAACAAAAGCTATTTCTGTCGACTCGGAATCAGCTTCGAGGGGAGGGTACCTCAACTAAGGACCAAACGAGAGGAGATTTCGGAGGGCTGCAAGGGCATCCCATAATAGTCGAGTCTCCTCGAAAGGGCCCTCGACAGAAATTCGAAAGAAATTCTCAAGCTTAAAGTGGAAAAACGGGTGCCGCTTAGGAACAGCGGGAGAGTTACGGGAGGACATGCACCTCGCTTAAGTAGTTCGGTCTCGCAGACAGACCACTGGCATGGGGATGGGGAGGGGGGAAATTACAGCCCCTCCTTAATCTGGATGGAAATTGGAATTGCTGGCAAAGATGGGAGGCAGAGCGAGGGTCCGCAAGGATCTCAAGGCCTTTGGGGTCCGCAAGGAAATTTGGCGCACCTTGCTGTGCGCAACTCCGGATCTACCTACCTGGTTTTTTGCCTGCCTGAACAGAGTTTGTTTTAGTGCCTCCGAATCTAAGGTGGAATTATAGACAGCTTTAACGTCAAAAGCTTCCTCGGAGGCCTGGTGGAGGTCCAGCCCCTTCCCAAACTGCGACATCTGTTCCAAATCTAACAAGCCGGCTTCGTTCTCCTCAGTACACCTGTACCAAGCAGCGGGGGAAGGAGGAAAGGAGGGCGACTTGTTAGTTCCATCCGGCTGCGACACACTCAGGGGGAGGGGAGATGCCGATGCCGGGGGGGTGGGGGGCTCCGTAGAGCCTCATGCGAGGTGAGGAATGGCAGGGCGAGCGACACAGACAGACAGACAGACAGGCAGGCAGATGGACAGACGGACGACGGACAGACAGACACGGCCGTAGCACAAGAAGATCGCTGAGCAAGGCGTAGCCTCAGACACGAGGGCCAGATAAGCAGATCTCATGTCAGATTTGGATCCACGTTGGACGCCGGATAACCCAATTGGGGATCCGGGGAAGGTCGCAAACCCTCAGCACCCCATGCGTACGGAGGGTCTCCTAGTCTCCTAGAGATCTGAGGGCCGTAGGTGATGCATTTCTGAGGACCAAGGAAACATCTTGGAGTTGACCAGCAGCCCAAACCATTTGGCAAGCCCTTTTCTCATGGATTTCTGGAGTTTGACCCTCCGGCCAGTCCCAAATCACGCATTCATGGGGCGTGGAATGAGAAGAGAAAAGCAAAGAGTCCCCCTCCCTCCCGCTGGGACAGTGGAAACCCACCTCTGGGCACGGTTAAAGCTCATGGTGAGGGAGGTGGCTTCTTCTTCCTCCTCTTCCTCATACCCTCCTTGTGGCTCGGCGGCGGGCGACACCGTCTCGTCTTGAGACTTCCCCGTCAGGCTGTCGTCGTCTTCCTCTTCCAGTTCGTCCTCTTCCTCGTCAACGTCTTCTCCTTTGTCGTTCGGAAGACCGTGGGGGGCGCCGTCGGCGTTCCGGATTTCAGGCGTCCTGGCGGAGGGAGAGCGCAAAGAGTGGAAAGTCACCAAAGCCATTTGAAGGTCATGTAGGCTGAGCCCACGAGAGGAGGGGTCAAATGCGTCATCAGCCGCGAGTTCCTTTGCGCCCGCTTCCTTGGTGATCCCGCCTACCTTTTCTCTGATAAAGCCGACGACTGGTTCATCTCGCTGTTTGCAATAAAGTTTCTGATTTCGGAAAAATAGGCGTCTTCTTTTTCGTCTAAAAGTGCATGGTGGTCCGATTCGGAGGCTGGTGAAGATGCGTGGTTCCCCAAGTGGTTTGTAATGACTCCGGCATGCTGGCTTACTGGAGGAGGAGAGGGAGGAGGAGGAAGAGGAGGAGGAGGAAGAGGAAGTGGAGGAGAAGGAGGAGAAGGAGGAGGAGGAGAAGGGGAGGAGGAGGAAGAGGAGGAGAAGCAGAAGGAGGACAAAGAGGAAGAAGAAGGAGGAAGAAGAGAAGGAGAAAGAGAAAGGAGGAGGAAGGAGGAGGATAAAGGAGAAGACAAAGGGATGAATAAGGAGCAGGAGAAGAAGATTAAAAACTGAAGACGGACATGGATATTTTGGTGCATGATGGGACAGGGGGAAGACAACCCCTCAACCTCCTTGGGGTTGATTAGACTAGAAACTAAGCAGAACCACAAAGGAAAAGAGAAAGTCAAGAATCTGCTTGACTTGTCCAGGATCATAGGAAGACTGAGCAGGGGAGCTGGACTAGATGACCTCGAAGGAGCCTTCCAATCTTATGATTCCATTGATAAACTACGGGAAGTGCTGGCAGGGGAAGCATTTGGCACAGTAGAAGCCGTGCGTGGACAAGGTTTGGAAATTTCTCCAGTCTCATAAAGCATGGAAAAGGAATGCCGGTGTGTGTGTGTGTGTATGTGTCAACTTTGAGGAGGAAAAAAAAAGTACGGGAGATAAAAAAAAAAGCAGGGAGGAGACGTGGGGAGAAGGGTAAACATTTTTCTCAGGTGGGCACAATTTTTACTCTTGTGCGCCGTTAAATTTAGGGCTATCCCCAAAATAAAATTAAAATAAATCGGAGCGGCAATAGCTGCACTATCGGACAATGGGAGGGGTGGGGGGGACGGTGGGGGATGCCAAGCCAGGAAAACCTGGTTACCTGGAACATTTTCGTGCTCGTGTTTTTTCAAGTGCCGGTCCAGGTTTGTCTGCTGGCCGAAGCAGCGATTGCAGAGATGACATTTGAAGGGTTTCTCCTTATTGTGGATGTTCCGGACATGGCGCTGAAGGTTGGACGAAATGCTGAATGACCGGTCGCAATATTTACACCTGGAAGCAGGGAAGGAGGGAAAAGGGGGCGTCGGTGGAAAGCAAGCGCGCACGTTGTGTGGGGGGGTCACATCACCTTGCCTGCCCACCCTATGAAACATCGTCCCCTTTAAAAGACTCCTCCAGGGCTTGGGGGGGGCTGGGGGGAGGAGAGAGAAGGTTTAAGGAAAAATTAAGGGCTGCAGGTCCTTTGACTTTGCTCAAGAGGGCAGCACTGAGACACGTAAAGAGGGGATTAAAAATGGCAGACTCAGTTCGACCCACATCTAGCGCTCTTTGGAGCCAAGACAATGCATTCAAATCCATCCAAATGTTGCTTTTTCTTTCTTTCCTCTTTTTTTCCTTCTTCATTTTTTCTTTCCCATTCCTTCCCTTTTTATTCTTCCTGCCTTCCTTCCCTCTCTTCCCCCTTTCCTCCCTCCCTCCCTCTCCCTTCTTTCAGTTTTCCTTTTTTCCACTTTTCTTTATTCTTCTCCATTCCCTTCCTCCTCCTTCTTCCTTTTTCCTCCTCCCTTTCTTTCCCCTGCCTTCCCCTTTTCTCCTTTTTTATTCTTCCTTCCTTTTCTCTCTTCCCTCTTCCCTCCCTCCCTCTTTCCTTTTTTCATCTTTCTTTTTCTTCTTTCTTCCTTGCTTCCTCCTTTTCTTCCTTCCCTATCTCCCTTTCTTTAATCTCCCTCCCTCTCTTTCTTTCTTTCTTTCTTTCTTTCTTTCTTTCTTTCTTTCTTTCTTTCTTTCTTTTTCTTTCTTTCTTTCTTTCGTCAGGATTCTACACTGTGCATTGGGTGCATGCTTTCCAAATGCACAAAAGTTAGAAACACAGCAGCTCTCCAAAAACATCTTTATTATTTTTGGAACCGGCAGAGATACCTTTCTAAAACTCTCTTCCCAAAGGGGGGGGTGTTGAGTGGAATGAGCTCATAAACTGAGAAATGAGAACGGATTACTGTGCCAAATATTACCTCCCCTTAAAAGAAATACTGCCCATTGCTTAGGATGGTCCCATAAACACCCCCCACCATATTTCTCTCCCCCCCCATCCTGCGTCTCTTTTGTTCTCTAACAATAGTTCTTTTTTCTTTCCTTTGCACACAAAAACAGACAGAATCTCCAGTTTGCTGCTCAAGAGAAATGGGTTAGGCTTAGATTTAGAACCCTATCTTGGTTTCCATCCGTGGTCGAGGCAAACGGACGATCCATTTTTTTTTTAAAAAAAGCAAATTGTCAAGTTATCCTTATTTATGATCAATACCGGTCTCTCTGTGTGGAGAGAGGCTGCGTTCGCCTCTATTTGGGAGATGGAAGTCAAGAATCGGAATCCGGATTTTAAATCGGGGGTCCAGGCTGAACGCCACCCGGATCGTTTATTTGACTCCCGACCAAAGTTAAAAACGCAGCAGTGGAGTTATATGCCCGGCTATTTGGAAGCTGGTCAAGATTTCAAGGGGGGGGGGCGAGGAGGGCACCGTCCCAAGCCACGATGGTTCTTACAGCAAAAAGTAGCAGTAGCAGCCGGAAGTGGAAAAGAAAATCGAATGCAGCTTAATTAAATCTGGATTCAGCCTCCAATTAAGACGGCTGCTTTTCACCTTTTCGTTGTTCTGATTAAAGGGATTGCCGAGAAGATGGTTTTGGCAACCTTGGGCAAGAGAGCAGCACCATCAGCTATGCCACGCTGGCTAAAAGGAGCTTTGCTTTCTTTCTTTCTTTCTTTCTTTCTTTCTTTCTTTCTTTCTTTCTTTCTTTCTTTCTTTCTTTCTTTCTTTCTTTCCTTCTTCTTCTTCTTCTTCTTCTTCTTCTTCTTCTTCTTCTTCTTCTTCTTCTTCTTCTTCTTCTCCTCCTCCTCCTCCTCCTCCTCCTCCTCCTCCTCCTCTTACTAAAAGTAGGAGCTGAAGTCAGAGGAATGTATTGGCAAAAAGTCTGCCGCTTCTCCTGAGACGCTCAGCAAGACCATCCAGAAGTCCAACCTTAAGCAGGAGAAGACCGGCCCAAATGTCTGTGTGTTTGTTTGTTTTTTAATTTTGCTAAATCTATATTAGAATCTCCCTTTTTTGGAAGAAAACTTGGCCTCGGGAAGCTGTGAGCTAGCCAGAGCGGGCCTAGGGAAGCTGGATGAGATGATTCTTGTTGGAAGGAAGGAGGGGAGGGAGGGAGGGAGGAAGAGTGGGAAGGAAGGAAGGAAGGAAAAGAAAAGAGGGAGGAAAAGGAAGGAAGGAAGGAAGGAAGGAAGGAAGGAAGGAAGGAAGGAAGGAAGGAAGGAAGGAAGGAAGGAAGGAAGGAAGGAAACTTCATGGAGAGATCTGGACTAGTATTGGGGGGAGTAAGATGGAGAGACAGTCTCTGGGCAAGTGAACCAACATGAACCAAGCAAGATGGCTGCTCTACTAACCGAACCTTCACACATTCTGCTCCAGAATAAACCTTCAAAAAGCAACTAAGGTAGACTGCCTCTCCCTCCGGAGGTTCTCTTTTGGCGGCGACTTCCCTGCTGTGGAACCAATGAGCAATTTAAACAACCAGTTCTACAGACAAATACGATGAATGAAACCGGTGTGAAATCCTTCTGGTTGATAAACTCCACAAATGGCAATTTGTTATTATTATTATTATTATTATTATTTTTAAAACTCACCGGTAAGGCTGTTCTCCTGTGTGTGTTCGGAGATGTCTGGTGAGGTTGGCCGAACGCGGAAAGATTTTACCACAGTATCTAGAAAGCAAAAGAAATCCATCTGGGGTTTTTTTTGGTTGCGGTTTTTTTTTTGGCCCCTATTATTCCCTGTCCCTAAGTGAGCCACTGTAAGCCGAGGACGACCCTGTACATTCCCAACACATCTTTAGCAGAAATCCAGAAATTAGGTCTAATTTAACGTTATGTTCATCGGAAGCCCTGTAGGGGGGTTGGCTTTGGGCCCCTCTGCCGTATCAACACGGTCCTTGGACCTGCATGGCTGCCCACCAGAGATGATGATGATGGTGACAATAATAATAATAATAATAATAATAATAATAATAATAATAATAATAATAATAATAATGTTGGAAGGGACCTTGGAGGTCTTCTAGCCTGACCCCTTGCTCAAGCAGGAGACCCTAGACTATTTCAATCAATCAATCAGAATAGAGCTGGAAGGGACCTTGAAGGTCTTCTAGTCTAACCCCTGCTGACCCCCTGCTCAGGTAGGAGATCCTAGATTATTTCAATCAATCAATCAATCAATCAATCAATCAATCAATCAGAATAGAGCTGGAAGGGACCTTGGAGGTCTTCTAGTCCACCCCCTGCTCAGGCAGGAGAGCCTAGACCGTTTCAGACAGATCTTCCTTGACTTTTTCCAGCTGACCCAACGGGAAGGGGGGCGAGCAAGCAAGGAGAACGAGAAGACACTGATTTATCTCTAGGTTGTCCTCTCCTTCCAGCCTTGCTCTCCCAGGTCCGTCCCCCGTTATGGTCTGGTATCTCCCTCCCGCCTCTCTCTCCTCCCACTTTTTTTTTTTTTTACCTGCAGGTATAACGTTCTTTGCCCTTGCGCAAAATGGGGTCGGATAAAGTGGGAGGGGGCGACCGGAAGTTGAAGGGGTGGTGAGGGAGGGGCGGCAAGGGAGCCCCCCCGGCGTCTGTCTTCAGGGCAGCAAAACTCTCCAATTTCTCCGTCATGGTTTCGATGGCTGACATCTACAAGGGGAAAAGAAAGGACAACAGAAGAAAAACGATCCCCTCCTTCGGCCAAAGGCTACGTTTGGGGTCCGGTATTTGTCAGTTTAAGGGTAAGAAAGTGGGGGGGCTTGAGGGGAATCAGGCGCCGTTTCACAGAAGGGAGGGGAAGGGGTTTTAGAGATCATCCAGTCCAGCCGTTAATTGAACCCTTAAATCTGAGGCTGCCGTAACAGAGGGACAGAGCAGATATTTTAACACCACAAAATGTCCACCTCTGCCTATCCCAGGTCCTCGGGAAAGACGGGAGAGGTGGATAAAAAAGGCTAAATCGATCTGGTGGACCGTGCGATGGATCCTGCCCGTGATGATGATGGGTTGAAGAAGATGAGGTTGTGATGAGGATGAGGATGGGGAAGGAGGAGAAGAAGGGAAAAGAGAGAAGGAGAAGAGAGAAGGGAGAGATGGAGGAGAAGGCGAAGAGGAGGAGGAAGAATAAGGAGGAGGAGGAGAAGAAGGAAGAGAAAGGATATGGAGAAGGAGAAGGAGGAAGGGAGATGGAGGAGGAGGAGGAAGAAGAAGGAGCAGGAGAAGAAAAAGAAAGGAGAAGAAAGAAGGGAAATGGAGGAGAAGAGGAGGAGGAAGGAGAAGAAAGAAGGGAGAGGAGAAGGAGAAGAAAGAAGAAAGAAGGGAGGCAGAGCAGAAGGAGAAGAGGAGGAAGAAGGAGGAGAAGGAGAAGAAAGGTGGGAGATGGAGGAGAAGGAGAAGAGGAGGAAGAAGTAGAAGAAGGAGGAGAAGAAGAAGAAAGGAGAAGAGAGAAAGGAGATGGCGGAGGAGAAGGACTACAACACGAGGATGCCATTACGGGCTCTCTCTTAACCATCAGTTCTCCCCATTCAACACGGGGCGGGGGGTCATTTTTATCTCCAACCCCCCCCCCACAGTCCCAGCTCGGCCTTGCTATCTTCCTCTGCAGCCTTGGCGAATTATCAGCTGCTCCCGGAGCCGTTCTCCCCTGTTCTGACCCAGACAAATGCAGGATCTTCCTGGCCGGCCTGATCCACTGCGGGGCCCATTGAAAAAGGAAAATGGAGGGAAGTTATTAACTGAACTTTCCGGCCGGAGGCAAACAATGAAGTCACTAAGTTTAGCCTTGGGCTCCGCTCGGCTCCAGCCGTTCCCAAAAGATTCAGAATTGCTTCTCTTAAAAATAAATTAAAAAAAAAAAAAGGGCCCCGAGCCAATGGGGAAACCATGAGCTCCATAGGAAACGAGACCTTCAAAATGCAATTGAGATGGAGGCCAAAGATTTGGGCGCTGACACACTCCGGAGGCGCTTTCACTTGTGAAAGTTACTCTGGCAGGGTATCCCGGGTTTTTTTTTTTAATTATTCCCGATGAAGGAAGTTCCTAACTCTTGTTCCATTTCTCTGGAAGGGGACAAATTTCCTCCAGGGCTGATAGCATTTCCCTCTTCCTTGCTTTCTTTCGGAAAAAAAAAACAAGGCGCCTCCGCCATCGTAAGCAAAGGCTTTGGGCTTCTTGGCCTCCCCTTCTACAAGGGGAAGATCTCGTGGAGGTTTGGTAGAACAAAAGAGAGTCTGGAATTGTCCTCTTGCAGTTATGAGGTCCAGCCGGTCATAATTCCTCAACCCCAGCCAGCCGGTGTCAAAACGCTTTCTCCCTGACCATCCGCATGTGGTGGTCCTCTTTCTTCACCGTGAAATTCCTCCGTGGTTTCACTCCAAACTGCTCCAATGCCCAAAGTCACATCCCTTCAATGTCCTGTTCAGAGCTAGGGAGGAGATGCTGGACTGAGAAAGGGTCCGAGACCACGTCTTTGAGCCTTGTGTGGACTCAACGGTAGGGTGGTGACCTTGTCAACAAAGCCATGGCTTAGCCCAAGGAGCAACTTCATTCTCGGCGCTAGTTGGTCAAAGACGGAGATATTTGAAGACTAAGGTGTGAGCCTCTTGGGTGGTTGAACATTTTATGGTAGGTCAAAGTCTCTGGAAGCTTCTGGGGTGAGAAGAGGAAGGTCTTCCAAGAAAAACAAGGAAGTCTAGTTGCCTCGTGGGAAAAAAAAGCATCTTTGGGACAATCGCAACCAGGATGATGGAGAATCTCCATAAACATTTGGGGAGCAACGTCTTGCATGTGGAGCTCTCCACGGTGCTGAAAATTGGTTCCATCGGATAGGCCAGAGGTCCCCAACCTTTTGGGCACCAGGGACCGATTCTGTGGAGGGGTTTTTCCACGGACCGGAGGGGGTGTGGTTTTGTGTGCTGCCTGCATCCTGTGGATGGGGCTTTGCTTGTTTGTGTGGACCGGATGCTGGCATGACATGGCCCAGTACTGGCCCACGGACCAGGGACTGGAGACCCCTTGGATAGACTACCTGATCACCAGGAAGACCCTACTCAAACACCGAGCAGCTGCCAGCCTTCTCAGGTAGACCAGACAAGAAGCCGACAGATTCTACTTTATTGTAAGGCCACATTAATAAAATCTGCCAAGTCCGAATGTGTGTGTCTTTTTACAGCGATGTGGTTGTGGGCTCCCCGCTCCCTTATCTGATCCTTCCCTAAGCAGCAACTCTTTCCTCCCTTCTCCCAAGGTCATTCCCACCTGCCGCTACATCAGGAGAGCGAGCTTCTGTTCACACAACCAGTTTTGAACAAGCCTGGATGGCAACAGACTTAGTTTGATTAACTTTTGAGGAAGAAGCTTAATGTCCTGGGTGGACCTAAGGGCATTTGATCAGTTTACAGTTCAGAAAAACCGGCTGATTTGGTGACTAGCTTGTGCACAATGAAGGCTGTTCTGGGACACTGGCTAGGCAATGTTTCTGGTCTTACCTGAGGGTGGTAAAGCAGCGGTGAAGGTCTCAGATATTTCTCCTTGAGTGCTCCAACTGAGTCAGCCACCTTCCGCTTCTCCACCCTGCTGGACAACAAGACAGAGGGTTACATACCTCACAGAAGGAAACTCAAGATTCTCCTTTGTATCCTTTTGAAAAAAAAGGAGAACGGTCCAATATATCCTTTGAGGAGATACAAGCTATCATTCAAGGTTCTTTTCAAGCTTATTGTCCCAAGTAAAGAACGGCCTACAGGGAAATCAAGCATTCTTGGGTCAACCCAACTGATATCTTATTTCAACGTTCTTCTGCTAGATCACATTCCAGAAAGGGAGGTCCTCTCTGGATTCCCCAGCCATGATGAGAAATTGGAAGATCATGAGAAGAACGGTGACCTAGCTTCATCTTTTAGAGATAGTGAGTAGCTGCTTCACCTTCAGAAGTTGTGTTCTTTCCGTGAGTGAGAGACATTAAAGAGTACACTGGTGGGTTGATATGAAATTCTGGATCTCTAAGGGGCACTTTCATTTCAGAGGTGGCCGTGGAATTGTGGTTCGCCTTTGTCATGGCCCTACAATTCCCATCATGCCTCTAGCCCAGGGATGTTGTGTATGTGTATTATAATTATTCCTGATGACCGTGCCTACTTTTGCAGGCTGAGTCAACCTTCTGCCCAGGAGCTAAGCTCTGTTACGGCTCACAAGACAAGTCTCAAAGAAGCTAATATGGAAGGACTCATGAAAGATGCTGAGGTGGGCCACCTCAGCTCCACAGTAGAAGAATATATGGAAAAGGTTACACTGTACATTGTGATCCTGCCAATAACCACAATTTTAATGATGTGAGTGGCCTGAATATCTATCCATCCATCCATCCATCCATCCATCCATTAATCCATCCATCAATCCATCCATATAACCGTGAGTTAGGCAGTCTCTTATCTGACCAGTTTTATCCATTCCATCCCTCAAAGTCTTTCCCACAGACAATCACAACAACACACCATCAAGGCTGAGAATGTTAATACCTGTAGATGGGGTCCATGAAGAAAGGGGAGGGCTTAGCGTAATGCAGGGAAGGTTGAGGAAGCATCTGAGCTTCAGTCATCTTCGGGATCCCGTCGCTGGCCACCAGCTTCCTCTCACCGTAGACGTGGTTCTTTCGGGAATCCCGACTCCCGTTATGACTGGCCCGGATGCGGCTGCTGATGGTGAGATCTAGAGGCTGTTCCTCGCCGGCGTGGCGGGCGGGCAGGACTTGGGCCACTTTGCTCTCTTTCGGCTTGGTGGTAAGGTCGAAGGGCGACTCCAAGCAGGGCCCGCCGATTTTGTGCAGGTCCCGGGGCGACTTTGGTTCGGCTTTGACCATCAAACTGTGGTTGAGGGTTCGCTCCGTGAAAGGGTAGACCGAGTGGGAGAAGTTGGGAAGGAACTGGAAGGGAAACATGGAATGATAGGGAAGAGTCCCCATTTTTTTCTCTTGCATACCCATAAATCCGGGCCCAAAGTATTTCTCGGCAATCGAAGCGATGGCCTTGATGGAATCGTTCGCGGCCCCCATCATCGGGAGCAGCTGATCCTCGGGCGGAGGGAAGAATGTGTGCTGGGAGTAGAAGATGGGGAGATCGCTCATGTTGTTGGCAGAACTGGTGGGGACCGAACCGCTCCCAAAATCCGGCTTGCTCTCCCCAGCTTTGCTTTTCTCCTTCATTTTATCCTGCTCACTCTCCGCGTCGCTCTCTAAGTCCGAGCCTGTGCCGGTGGTGGTCTCCAGATCGGTGCCCGTCGTAGTGTTGACGTCCTCAAAGTCACTGGCGTCTGACAAGTCACTAGTCCTGGCTTTGAGCTTCTCCAAGTAGGAGTTCCCCAAAGGGGTGCTGTTGAACCTCTCCTCCACAGGTAGCGGGTGGCTGCTGTTGCTGATGGCGGACATCAGCGGGAGCGGAGAGTGGCCGAGAGGGCTGGGGAGTTTGGCCTCTTGGGTGTGGTTGATGGGGCTCTTGAGCAGGGGTGTGGGGGGCAAGAGAGGCGGCCTCGGGTACAGCGAGGGAGGGAAGATACCTGGAAACCCAGGGGCGAGAGCCGGGAACGCAGGGGGAGCAGGCGAGAACGGGAGTGCTCCCGGGTGTGGCCGGGAGGGGAAGTACTCGCCGAAGCCGAGTCCGGCATGATTGAGGTTGGGCGATGCCTTAGACTTGTCCATCATGGAGCTGGGCGTCAGAGGCAAACCTGGTGCAAAAAGGCCTCCGGGGTTGTAGTGGTTCTTGCCTTCGCAGAACCGCCGGTGTTTGTTGAGCGAGGAGGTGGTGCTGAACATCTGCCCACAGTCCTTGCATTTGATCTGAGTCCGGCAGTCGGCGTGCATGCGCTTGTGTCGGCAGAGGTTGGAGAACTGCGTGTAGGATTTGTGGCAGACCTCGCCTAAAGCATCAACAGAAACCAAAAGACCGAAACCCAGTATGAAATTAATATGACAGAACCGGTCAGACGCGAGAGAAAATTGGCGTTTTGGGGATTTTAACGGGGGATTGGAAAAACAAAAAGAGAGAGGAGCGGGAAAGGTTTTTAAACCAACGGGAACCCAAGGGCGGCCTCAGAGAGACATGGATGACACCACAACGAAACACAAAAGAACACAGGGTTTGTTTCAAAGGTATGACCACAACCTACCGCCACAACTGAGCCCAAAATTTGATTGATAAACCAACCAACCAACCAATCAACATCCAGGGAATTTCCGTGCGGCAAGGCAGTGTGGCTGGGGCAACTTACATATGAAAGGCTTCACAGTGCTGTGGATGTGCTTGTGTTGTTTGAGGCCGGAAGAGGTGGCGAAGGTCTTCCCGCAGTCTGGGCAAGCGTGCGCCCGCGCGCCGACGTGCTGAGAGCGAATGTGCCTTTGGAGATTGCTGGGGTCCGTGAAAACCTGCGGGGAAGGCAAACAGGATACCTCTTGAGCGTCTGGAGTAAGACACAATGCCATTTCCTTGTAGGGAATCTGGTGTGTGTTTGTGTGGCATTTGTGTTGATTTGTTTCGACAGCAGAACCTCGGGAGAGAGAGAGAGATGTCCACCTCTTTGACCACCGGCCTAACCTGCCAGAATTTTAAACAAGGGCCCGCCCACCCCGAGGGCCGTTACCTTCACGCAATTTTCACACTCAAATCTTTTGCCACTGTCATGTGACATCTGGTGACGGATCAAGTTGGACTTCCAGTTGAAGGCCTTGGGACACTGGTCACACTTGTATTCCCTTTCTTCCGTGTGGATGATCATGTGCTGTTCCAAGCTGTGGGAGAAGAAGAATGAGGGAAAATAACGAGAGTCGGAAGGGACCCTGGAGGTCTTCTAGTCCAACCCCTCTCCCTGCTCAAGCAGGAGAACCTAGAGCATCTTTGGAGGGATGCCATCACCTGTACTCAAGATTTAGGCCTGTGTTTTTCAACCTTGCTGGCTGGGGAATTCTGGAAGTTGGGGCCCACCCCTCTGAAAGCTGTCAAGTTTGCAAAACCCTGATCTTTGGGATCCCCCCCCCCATCACCTGTACTTGTTCGGAAACATCCTTTCACAGTCTTTGCATTCGTGGACCGGTTCGTCCTCCATCCCTCCTTCCTGCTTGATCTCCTCCGTCAGGGACTCGTACAGAGATCCGACGGCATGGCAGGAATATTTCTTATGCCGCCTCATCTCCATTTTCGACTGGAAGAGCTCGTCACAGTCCTCGCAACGGAATGTGTGAACTTCTGGAGACAAAGCAGAGACCCCCCCCCCCTAGTTATAGAGGGCAGCCATGCTGGACATCTTGGTAGCCAAGAGCCAGACAGGGGGAATTGCCAAAGTCCCAAGGCAACATCTGGCAGGTTGCTAGGATGGCTTCCTGCTTCGTGGTTGCAAGTCGGGCCAGATGTTTCTCAGGCCCCAGTGACGTGTTCTGATGTCACGAGGGTCCAAAAGAAACCACCTGCGTTTTTGTATCTTGGAACGCGAAGGCTTTGCATTGGGGGGGGGAAACGAGAGGAAACGGACCTCACCTTCCAAATTGGGCGGCAGGTTTTCAGCAGACAAGGTTCCTTCTTTCGCGTACATCAGCAGCTCTTCTCCCGGCTCTGTTTCTCTAATAACTTTATAATAAATCTAGACAAGGAAAAAGAGAGAGGGGGGGGGACAGAAAGGGAGGGAGGGAGGGAAAAAGGGGGTAGAGGAGAGAAATTAAACATAGGAGCTACCTGGGTGTCAAACGTTAGTTGAAATGAAAAAAAGAGGGTGATTCTGTTTATCACTTGATGGTGGATGGAGATACTGTCCTACCTACCTTCCTTCCTTCCTTCCTTCCTTCCTTCCTTCCTTCCTTCCTTCCTTCTTTTCCTTCCTTCTTTCCTTCCTTCTTTTCCTTCCTTCCCTTTTTCTCCTTCTATCCTCTTTTTCTCCCTTCCTTTCCTTCCTTCCTTTCCTTCCCTTTTTCTCCTTCTGTCCTTCTCTTTTTCTCCTTCCTTCTTTTCCTTCCTTCCTTCCCTTTTTCTCCTTCTGTCTTCTTTTTCTCCTTCCTTCCCTTTTTTCCTTTCCTTCCTTCCTTCCTTTCCTTCCTTCCTTTCCTTCCCTTTTTCTCCTTCTGTCCTTCTCTTTTTCTCCTTCCTTCCTTCCTTCCTTCCTTCCTTCCTTCCTTCCTTCCTTCCTTCCTTCCTTCCTTCCTTCTTTCCCCCTCCTCCTCTCCCTTCTCCACATCCCTTTCCTTTCCTCCTTCTCCCTTTCTCTCTCCCTTCCTTTTGTATTTTACCCAACTATATCCAAAATATACTCCCACCCAACCATGGAAAACATTCCGGAAAAAATGTCCCTTTGGTGCAGGAAGGCCCACTGATGAATTTCGCCGAATTGCCCCCACCCATGGGTTTAAACTCCAGCCCAGATCTACTCAACTCTCTTCCTAAATTTTAAATGCTCCAGGTGGTCACCTCTTCCTTCCTCCCATACGGCAGCCCGCCCGAACATCATCCCCAGAGCCTCAACTACAAATCCCATCCCTCTCAGGAAGTCAAATGTCCTAATGGCAGCCATTCAGCCTCGGCTCTTCGTCTGCTCCAAACAGGTCGTGAAAAATCCATCATTTTTTTTTTTTTTTTGGTGGTGGTGTTGCTTGACTTTGCCTCAAATCTGGTTTTAGGCTGAATGCACACATATTTCACTTTTAAAGAAAGATTCATTCAGGGTATATAATACATCCCATCCTGCAGCAAACAGAAAGAACAGTATTCCATTTAACTTCTCTCCCCCACCCCGTTATAGGCACAAAACTCTTATTGTTTCTTCCTGATTTCTGTTTACTTTTTTTTTTTTTTTACCCCTTCTTCTTTAAAGCCAATACATTTTGGCACATCTTTCCCGATACAGCCAAACAGTCTGTCAAATATTAACTTAATAGATGGAAAAATCTGGCCAGTGAGACTTAAAAGATTTTTAAAAAGCTCTCCCTGGTGACATTGTACGATATACGTTTGTACGATATACATTTTTTTTCTTTCTTTCTTTGGGGGGGAAAAGCCTGACGTTTGGGGGTTCTCCCACTAGAGGGCAGAGTTTACCAGTTAAAGCTGAATTTGAGGCTAAAGGGCCAGCTACTGAAATAAAGCTTGCATTTTCTCTCTCTCTTTTTTTCTTCTTCTCTTTTTTCATCTCCTAACAACTCAGGGATATCTTTAGTTAGATTTATTCCTCGAGCAATTGCCTGTACATTCATGATAGAAGACCAATTTTTCTAAAAACTGTTGCACTATCAATGAACCTCACTTACTACTGTTATTGTTACCGTATTTTCTGGCGTATAGGATGACTCGGCGTATAAGACGATCCCCGATTTCGGAGACGATTTGCATGCTTTCGAAAGTCGTCTTATACGCCGGAAAATACGATATTTTCTTCTTCTTCTTCTCCTCCTCCTACTTCTACTTCTACTTCTTCTTGTTTCTCCATTTCTCCTTCTCCTTCTCCTCCTCCTTTTTCTTTTTCTTCTTCTTCTCCTACTTCTCCTCCTCCTCTTTCTTCTTCTTCTTCTTCTTCTTCTTCTTCTTCTTCTTCTTCTTCTTCTTCTTCTTCTTCTTCTTCTTCTTCTTCTTCTTCTTCTTCTTCTTCTTCTTCTTCTCCTTCTCCTCCTTCTTCTTCTTCTTTTCTTCTTCTTCTTTCTTATGGGCCCAATATTATTATTATTATACAATTTATTGATCCGGCTGAATGTGGGATTATGGAACAGATAATCCGAGTGTGTCCTGAGAAGTATTGTATTTTGAGGATTACTTTTTGAAATGAACTGTCCTTTTTATAACCTTAAAAAAGAGTACAATACGCATTTTCCCCTCTGGAGTTTAAATATGTGTAAAATATATTTCCAAAAAAGAGGCCTTCCTATAAGAGTTGTAAATAAATTTTCTACCCCACTTCATCAAGCATGGTTCACATTCAACCCTATTTGGTGATTTCTGCCAATGGTAGCTCTGCCAGTAAATCCTGGTTAAACAAACCAGGATGTAGCTCAATGTGTGAGCCGCATTGTGTGTATGCTTGGGCCCCGGGGAGTACACGCACAAAAGTTCATACCTGGTCATTAATGGGACACACCACTAAATTTTGTTCTTCGCTCGAACGAGCGACCCGGATATATTTCAACCAGTTCCCGCTGGACGTTGGGTTGGCATCCATGCAGAATTTGCTGAGGTCCAGCTCCTCGCCAATCTGCAAGAGAGGATTGTGGGAGGTTGAGATGAGAAGAAATCCAGAAGGAATTTCTGTTCAGGGAAGGGAGACCAAGAGAGAGAGATAACTGTAGGCAAGTCAGCAGCAGGAACATCCCAACTTTTGCAGGAAGCTTTGGAACCATCAAACCCAACTTGGAAGACCTCTAGCAGGACCTAAGACCTGAAGATCTTCTTGGAGCATCTTACCAACCCATCGAGGGGCGACCACAAGCCGGGAGAAATCAAGAGACCTTCTGGAAAGCGACTTGTTCAACTTTCCCCAAAACGAGAGGTGAGGGAATGTAGGTTTCTTCACACAGTGTCACAAAAGGAGTGAAAGAGATTCTTTGGGGGGGGGGGGAAACTGTCCTTCTAGAAAGGCAGGCGGATATTCTCAAGTGCACGGCTAACTTTCCCAGCTTGATTACAGGAAGGGCTACTGAATAAAAAAAAATCCCGAGGAACACAATGCACGGAGCGACGGGGAGCTGATTGGCAAGTTCAGAAAGTCGGAGGCACGGATGTCAACCTAGGAGGTCACACACACACACACACACACACACCCTTTTCGAACCGATCTCCGAGGTTCAGCAAACTGCAAAACCGGGTCAAAAAAAAATCGACTCTGGGAAAGGAAAGCAATTCTTTGTGGGCTTGGAAGTCCACGAAATGTGTGTTCTGAAAATTCCTAATCATCTGTTCCCAGCACCAGAACTGACTTTGCCCTCGGGCAGCCTCGGATCTACCCTTCCTTCCAGTTTTGAAGTATAACAAACAGATGGGTCCCCTTGCCTAGGAGAACTGTTCAGCTTAGAGCAAGGCTGTCTCAATTGTCTTCTGAGGCTAAATATCTGGTAAGTGTTCCTCATACATCTTAGAACATAGAGTATGGGATATTACGATTGGAAGGGGCCTTGAGAAGAAGCAGGAGGAGGAGGGTGAAGAAGAAGAAGAAGAAGAAGAAGAAGAAGAAGAAGAAGAAGAAGAAGAAGAAGAAGAAGAAGAAGAAGAAGAAGAAGAAGAAAGAGGAGGAGGAGGAGGAGGAGGAGGAGGAGGAGGAGGAGGAGAGGGGGTGAAGAAGAAGAAGAAAAAGGAAAAGAAGAAGAAGAGGAGGAGGAAGAGGAGGAGGGTGGAGAAGAAGAAGAAGAAGAAGAAGAAGAGGAGGAGGAGGAGGAGGATGAAGAAGAAGAAGAAGAAAAGGGAAAAGGAAAAGAAGAGGAGGAAGAGGAGGAGGAGGAGGGTGGAGAAGAAGAAGAAGAAGAAGAAGAAGAAGAAGAAGAAGAAGAAGAAGAAGAAGAAGAAGAAGAAGAAGAAGAAGAAGAAGAAGAAGAAGAAGAAGAAGAAGAAAACTCTTCAGCTTATAGCGAGGCTGTCCCAATCATCTTCTGAGACTCAAATATCTGGTAACTGTTCCTCAGCCATCTTAGAACATAGTATGGGTTGATAGAGCTGGAAAGGGCCTTGGAGGTCTTCTAACCCAACCTCTAGCCCAAGCAGAGACCATTTCAGACAAAGCACTGTCCAATCTCTGCCTGGGAGGATCTGTTGACCAAACTCCTAACCAATGATGCTTGTCAGAAGGTCGCCAAAGGGAGTCAAAAAGCGTTGAGCATATACCAAATTCCATGAGTTTCAAAGTGGTGGAGGAGCAAGCAAATGGATAAATCCACTAAATATACGCCCGGGAAGGCAAACCACCAAGGTGTCCCAAGCAGCCTTTTCCGACATTCCTCTTCTGACCGAGCAGCGGGTCCCCTCCCTTCGCCATAACTGCCTTGCGAGCTTTCTCATCCCGCTACGTTCATAACCTGCAAATCTCTCAAGCTGGGGAGACAGTCCCCCCACCCAAAACACCCCCTCCCCAAAAGGCGGCACCCGGCCACAGAGCGGTGTTTCTCGTTGCTGCAACAGTTTAGCTGGGCTTCTGTGGACCAGATGGAGCCGTTATCAAAAGCAGACCCTGGCCGCAGGTTGAATTCCCTGGCTAGGGAGCAGGCCCGGGCCTTTCGGCAGGGGCTTTTCCCCCCATAAATTTTTATAGCTTTCCAAGGATACATCACTCATAGGTTTTATGAGGCTTCGTCGCTCCCGCTCAAGCCGATATAAAAACACCAGTGGCCGCTGGGCTCCTACCCTGTTTCTCCAAATGTGGATTTTTATTTATTTTATTTGGGGGGGGGGCGGGGAGCGGGACCGACGCAGCTCCTGAAGGCTTCTGCTTACCCCAAACCTGGTTAAAAAGAGACAGATGTAAAGCAATGTCTGGTTCTTCTTTTCTTTTTTTTTTTTTCTTGGTTTAGAGTTACAAAATAGGTTTGGGGCATAAGAGGTTTGAAGCTATAAACTGCCCAGAGTGGATTGGATAATGAAATGGATGGGATCTAAATTAGATCGACAGACAGACAGACAGACAGACAGACAGACAGATAGACAGAAGAATGGACGGATGGATGGACGGACAATTGGATGGATGGATAGATAAACAGATAATGGATGATAGATAGATAGATAAATAGATAGAACATGGGTGGGTGGATAGACATAGATAAGATGATGGATGGATAGAAAATGGATGGATATATAGATGATGGATGGATGGATGGACAGACAATGGGTGTAGATGGATGAATGGATGGATAGATAGATAAAAAGATAATGGATGGTAGATAGATGATGGATGAATAGATAGATAAATAGAACATGGATGGATGGATAGATATAGATAGATGATAGATGGATGGATAGAAAATGGATGGATATATAGATAGATGGTAGATGGATGGGTGGGTGGGTGGATGGATAAATAGACAGATAATGGATGGATAGATAGATAGATGAACGGAATGGAACAGAATAGAACAGAACAGCAATAGCCCTCAAACTTATAGGCCACTTCACCGTGCTTCACAGCCCTCCCGATTTACAGAGTCAGCATATTTTCCCCAACAATCTGAGTCCTCGTTTTACCGAGGACCCGTCGTAAGTCCCTTTTATTCAGTGCCGCCTAACTCTGAACGGTCGTTAAACGAACGTGTAAGTCCTGTGAGCGAAAACGTTCGCTGTTGGAAACGGGAGGAATAAAGAGAGCTCCTTCGTCGTAGGACATCCCAGGCGAAGGGCAACCTGGTGGAGAATTTTTTCACCCATTGGGTCCCCCCCCCTTCGCTCCTTCCACCCCCTCTCGCGGCCTCATGGGCGCTTCCCCGTCCCTCGTCCCCACCCATGCAGGGTTTTTTCCCCCCCTTGCAAGACGCACAAAAGTGTCCTTTTTTAACGGCGTCGATCGGTTCCGAAAAAGGGGGCGACTTAGTAAGCCGAGAATATTTGGATAAACTCGTTCAGCCCCGGAGAAGGAAGAAAAGGTCTTTTGTCCATCCTGGGTGGGAGGGGAAGGGAGCGAAAAAAAAAGAGGGGTGGGGGGGTGTCGGGGGGGAGACACCCATTAGCCTGCCATGGGGTTCCTGGACGGGGTCCAATCCAAACTCGGCTTGGCATAGTGGGGAGGGGGGCTGGAAAAAAAAACAAGAAAAGAGAAGGAGGGTGTCTAATGAAGAATCTTTTTTTTCCTGGAGGGCTGAAGTGTTTTTGATTTATTTATTAAAATGCAGGCCCGACATCCTTCTGTGGGCTTGGATTCTATGGGGGGCAAAAAACGTTGCGCGCCTCGACAAAGGGGACTTTGTGTGCAAAAGGGAGCGAGGGGAGCGCAACCCCGATGGGAAAAAAAAATAAAAGCAAAAAAACAGGGGCTACCTGACAGTCAATTGAAGCCAGCCTGTCATGCAAATTTACTTTTTTCCCCCCCGGCCTAACGAGGAGGCCTTTGGATTTTGCTTTCTGCATTTATTTTATTTTATTTTAAGGGGAAAAAAAATTATCCCCTGGCCAAGCTCCAAGACCTGAAGCCAATTAAGAGCAAAAGATGAAGGCAAGGTCTCAGCCCAGCCAGGGTCTGTGTCTCCAGCCGTTGATGCACGGGTTCCCACTGGGAGGGTCCTCTCCCCTCTGAAATTGGGGATGTCTAGTTTAATGAAGGGAAGGACGAGGGGGGACAGGATAGCAGTCTTCCAGTATCTCAGGGGCTGCCCCGAAGAAGAGGGAGTCAAGCTATTTACCAAAGCACCTGAAGGCAGGACAAGAAGCAACAGATGGAAACTCATCAAGGAGAGAAGCAACCTAGAACTAAGGAGAAACTTCCTGACAGTGAGAACAATTAACCAGTGGAACAACCTGCCTCCAGAAGCGGTGAATGCTCCAACACTGGAAGTTTCGAAGAAAAGATTGGACAGCCACTTATCTGAACTGGTGTAGGGTTCCTGCCTGAGCAGGGGGTTGGACTAGAAGACCTCTGAGGTCCTTTCCAACTCAGTTATTCTGTTCTGTTCTGATTAGGGGACTGGAGGCGATAACATACGAATTGTAGGAATTGGGGATGTCTAGTTTAACGAAGAGAAGGACGAGGGGGGACATGATAGCAGTCTTCCAGTATCTCAGGGGCTGCCTCAAAGAAGACGGAGTCAAGCTGTTCTCCAAAGCACCCGAAGGCAGGACAAGAAGCGACGGATGGAAACTAACCAAGGAGAGAAGCAACCTGGAACTAAGGAGAAACTTCCTAACAGTTGGAACAATGAACCAGTGGAACAGCCTGCCTCCAGAAATTGTGGGTGCACCATGGAGAAAGGAGTTGACCCCGAACCGTTATTTTGAATCTCGCGTCGGTGCCAGGGCTCGCAAGATGGAGACCGGCGGACGAAACGGAAGAAAGGAAAGAAAGGAGAGGGAAGAGAAGGAAGACAAAGGATGAGAGGACAAGGAAGAGATTATGCCAAGTGGTTATTTCTCCCAAATTTCCAAACGTTGAGGGGGCGAGGCAGGACAAGAAGAATTAAGAATTAAGCACAAAAAATGACAACGCTGTCACGGTGCATGGGTGGCTTTGTGTGTGTGTGTGTGTGTGTGGGTCAATATCCCACCCTCTTGCTTTCTGCTGACTACAGA